TCTGGTGATGATAGTGATGATGATATGAACGATGGAAAATTAAATGATTATGTACAATATAAATGTGACCACATAACTCATTACGATTACAATGCAACCTGGTCATTACAAGATGCGATAGCAACAACATTTAATAAATTCTTGGACAAATCACAAACAATTAATTTTTGGCAATGTGGGATTGATCTACAATTAGATACATGGAAGAATAAATTATTTAGTCGACCACAGTACAACAAACATATTGAACAACAACAACGCATAAAAATGAAGCAATACGCTACAGATGATTGTATTGCAGTCGCAGAATTATTCTTATGCATGTATCCGGAAACAACGACGACAACAACAACAACAACAACAGCAGCAGCAGCAAGGAACGTGTCGATCAATTTTGAAGATTATTTATCAAACATAAGCGAAGATGAAATTGAATTAATCGCATTAACCAAACCAAAATTAAAGGAAAAAGAAATTGTAAATCAACCGAATGATTCACCAGCCGAATTAATTATAACAACAACCGAAAATGAAATTAATGAATTAATTCCAACCCAAAAACCACCCCCAAACACATCAACAACATTAACATTAACCAAAAATGAACGACAACGACGGAAAAATCGAAAACTTAAATGGAAATAAAAACATCGACCAGATTTTCAACGAAAAATTAAAAGACCGATTTATCATCGCTATGATTATCGAAAGATCCGATCTCAATTGGCTGATGACGATATACACACAAGTCATCAAATAACGATCAATAAAGAAAAAGGTGAAGTTCTGATCGGGCTCAAATCCAAAGAAGAAGAAGAAAAAGCTCGAAACAAAATAAAAATTAATTACTTCTCCAGGGAACAGTACAAACAACGATGGGGGTAAGAAGAAAAATTTTTAATTAATTTAAAACATAAAGCTCGTCGAAACGAGCTAATAATAAAAAAATAATTATTATTTTATTATTTAAAAAACCACCGATGACAACTTAATTAACTGGACGAACAATACCCCATGAATCATCAACATCACATCAAAACATCGACAACATAATATGATAATATCAGCTGATCATTAGGTTTGAACTATCATCAGATTATTATTTCTTGTTGTTACATCGACAAATTCTTGTTGGAATACAATATCAAATAGGTCATGTTCATAGACAATTAATAATGAAAACCTCGACATTCAATCATATTATATTGTTTCATTACGTATAATTAAATTAGAAAATGATCGAACATTATGGTCAAATGAATTAATATTAAAAAATGAAAAAAAGTAATTATACTTAATAACATTAATCAACGGACATATTATATTCCATCATCAGCAGCAGCATTAGAAGTTTATTTTCGATCACAAGTACAATCGAATAGTTTAAATATTCATCGATGATTACTTGAATTTATTCATATAAATTAAGATAATTATAATAAAAGTGATTATTTTTATTGAGTCAAAAGTGGTTTATATTATACCAAAACAATGGAAATGTAATTGTTTATATGAATGTTTATATGATGATCATAGTGATGAAGATAATTGTCTATTATGTTCAATGATTAAAACCCCGAATAGTTTATTATGTCGTTCCGATGAAATTTGGTGTCTACCAATGACGAATGCAACCGATAAAATAGATCCAAACGGTGTTTGTATTCCACATGAACAGAATGCTCAATGGTCTTATTCATCAAAATGTGAAACAATTATTTCCTATTCTAAAGATCATGGTGAAATTCTACTTGATAATTCTACTCTTTCTAATCGGGAATCTTTATGTCTTATAATCATTGCGAAAGAAAGACATAAAATGAAAATGAAAATAACAATAAATTAAAATAATTTTCTTAATCAACAACCTGATTTAGAATGTTTAATTTATGATGGTAGTGAACAACAAAACCAATTACTTATCTCGTCTGATATGTTATTAATGAAACAAACCATACAAACGCATGTCAACAAAGTCAACCGTATAATATTTTATTTAATATAGCATGGTTAATAAGTTTATGTCCATACAATCAAATGTTTAGAGTAATCATTCTGAAATAAAATGTTATTCAATTCAACACATACAACATCTTCAACATCTTCATCTGAACTACAAACACCACAAGTAAAACTAAAAACAGGGTTACTTGCGTGTGAGGACACACACCTATCATAGGAGGGGAAGAATGTTAACGGTGGTTGATACCACTGGCCCCTCAATTACACTTCTCTAGTATTTAATGTATCTCTCCTTTTTCTCTCCCCGTCTTTATCATTGTTATTCTTTCCCCTCTCTTCTTTCTCTTCTCTATATATATACATATGTGTGTGTGAAAAGGTTAGATATAAATAAAACGTAAAGCTCGAACACGACGAGCTAACAATGTGATATGAAGAAGTTGAATCAAGCGTACTTGCATGAAAGTAAGCACTTCTTGTCTCTAAAACCGTCACACTAATATTAAAATTCTCATGCATCTATCTATGTTTTTTAACAATATGATTTATTTTATTTTTCATTATATATTTGAAAGTCTTAGCTAATAACTAATCAGAAATGGATATCAGACTTTACTTTTAAAATCCTATTAAATTCCAAATTGAAATAAATATTATGATTTATTAAAAAATCCCCATGAATTTGAATTAATTCGAATAAAATCGAATAAAATCTCAATAAATCCCAATAAATCCCAAGACCAATCTAAATACCGGAATTTATTAAAAGATCCCGATGAATTTAAATAAAATAAAATAAAATCTCAATAAATCTCGAAACAGAAATAAATACCGGGACTTATTAAGAGATCCTAATAAATCCCAAATAAATAATTCCCGGTAGCTGCTGAACTCAAGCTGAAGATTAACACTGACGCATCCAACATGGGTATCGGTGGTGTATTACATCAGATTACACCAAGTGGGCATCTTCAACCAGTACAATATTTATCAAGGTCTTTGTCGAAACGAGAACAAAAGTACTCCGTTGTTGAAAAATAATGTTTGGCAATGGTTTGGTGTATTACGAAACTACGTCTATACTTATACGGACGAGAATTCACCTTGATTACTGATCATCATCCATTGTGTTGGTTGAACAAACAATCATCTAAGAATGGTCGCCTAGATCGTTGGTCATTACAACTACAAGAATATTCATTCGATATCAAACATACACCAGGATCTTCAAATTGTGTTGCCGACTGTCTATCGCGATANTTCAAGATCAACGATAGCTCAACACCAAAGTTGTTCGAAGAAATGCAAAAAAAATCAAATTAGTAATATTATTTGATAGTGCAAATTAAGAATTTCACTTTAGCAGAAGGACAATCAAATGATAAATTGTTAAGAATAGATAAAACTTGAAGACATTCATCAATTAATAGATCATTCTAATATAATTCATCTTTATGAGGAAAAATTCATTCCATGAAAACTTACTTTGCTCATACATTTATCTGATTGAATCGAATATAGAGTTTATTTTGTTTGAATACATTTAAAATAATCTATTTGAGACTGAATAAGTCCGCTTATAAAAATAAAATTGCATACGTACATATATGAGTGAATTGCAACTTTTTGGTACGATTAAATTTAGCTGTATTTTTTTGAATAATCTTTTTTCTCTTCAGCCGATTTGAACAATTGTTTTTACAGGGTAGTAGTCCTTAAGTTTTCCATTTTCATACAACAACTTCAGTCCTTTATCTCATACTATAGGTGACTCATGAAAGATATATTGCAAAAAAAACGCCATTTTTTGTATAACATGCACCAAAAAAGAGAATAATTTGACTACAAGAAATTAAGAAGAAATAAATACCAATATCAAAGTTTGTTCACCGTTCTATTGTAATATGTTATTGTTTAAGTTTTATTCATTATCCATTCACTGGTCTAACGTTCATATAGTTTGACAGACACTTGTGTATTTTTGTGTAGAGTGACACACATACTACTGCATCTTCTGCTGTTGTAGAGCTAGTGGTTTTCAGACTATACGAAAAGAAAGATCGTTATACTCACTAGGTTGAGCGATGTTTTTTTCTAAAAAATTGTAGAGATATGCTGTTTTTTGAGATATTTTGCTTATACGTGATTTAGAAACGGTCTTTTTAAGTATATCTTAACTCAACAGAATACATCTATCAGATTGAGAGTGTGGGTGTGGGTAGGTGTAGACCAGCATGTTCGCCTACGCTCACACCTACACTTTCCAGGTTGCGTGTGGGTGTGTGTAGACAAGCGGGTGTCCGCCTTTTATTACACCCCACACCCACACCCCTACACCCTATGCTCACAATGTTGTCAAGTTAGAAAATTTTTTTATCCTTCGGCTTTCGAACTCTACCTAATTTCATAAGAAGAAGAAACTTAACAGGATGACATTGTTGTCCTCAAATTTATCTCCCATACTTCTTTGACAGCTAGAATTTATTAATATGTATGCCTCATATTTCTCAATTCTCGATAGAGGCTTATGTATCTGTTGGTATTAGAATGCATACAAAATAAAGCAAATGAAGCATATAAATTGAGTTACAGTGAAACAGGGATAATCAATAAAGTATTCCATCCAATATGTTAAATTTCCCGTTTTGTGTTTATTTAAGACAGGGTGGGCTTCTATTCTGTTGGGGGTGGGTATAGCTAATAGATGAAAGAAATACTCTTTCTTTTTGCTGTAAGTTATTTGTGGTGAATTCTGATACGCAAGATGCGTAGTAGATACCAATCGGTATTACTAAACATGAACTGTATACATGCAAGAGTTCAGTTAATGAACACTTTTTCAAGGGTCCCGTTAGTGTTCATTATAGAGAGGTTTTACTGTATATGTTTGTCTGTTCATAGAATATATAGACTCTCATGTGTATACACTCTAAAAAAAATAGGATTTTTACGGAACCTTAAAAGTTCCGCATTTTTGCACCGAACCTTTTTAAGTTCTGTGGAGTGCAAATGGATTCGTGGTTCTCTTTCTGAACCTTTTTAAGTTCAGCAGATTTTACAGGGTTCGGCCATTTTGCGACGGAACTTTTTGTAAGTTCCGTGAAGTGCTTTGTGGTTTCGTAGATCATGTACCGAACTTAACATAGTCTCCTAAAATGACCTAAGGTTTCGTAATATGCCGACAGAACCATTGTTGACTTCGTTCATCAAAAAAATAGTTCCGCCTTTTTGATACAGAGCCACCGATAGTTTCGTTAATAATCCGAAGGTTTCGTATTTTTTGCGCGGAACTTCTCGACAGTTTCTATATACCTATATGGTTTGGTACATTTTACACGAAACCACGGATAGTATCGTTGAGCATGCGTAGGATCTGTATTTTTTGGCAAGAACTTCTCCAATTTTCTGGTCGGTTACACGATTTAGTGCATTTCGCACAAAACGCTTCATAGGCTCCAACGTTATTTGAAGGTTTCGTACATTTCATACTAAATCACAATGGCTACGTTAAATTTTTTCATATATTTCCCATAAAAACACGAAAGAGTATATGGTTCTGCACCATACCGATAGTGGTCTTCCTTTCTTTCAATCATGTCAAGTTCAGTATTCGCGCCAGGATGGGTCTCATTAAGTCCACTATAAGGAGGCTCCCACCAAAAACATTAAAGAATTTCAACCTTTCCATGCACCGAAGTCAAAACAATGTATCGTAGTGGCTAACTTACTTTAAGAGCTTTCTCTCTTTTCACGGCACTTTCATTTAGGTTATCGAGGTCCAGCAACCCGAATATGTACTCAGTTTTCCCCGTCGAGTTCCCATTGGTCAGAAAATCGGTGGCTCCCAGAGCCAAAAGCTGTAGAGGTAGCTTTGTTATTTCAACTGCAGGTAAAATTCGTTGATAAGTTTGATATGTTGAAAATTAATGAATATGTTGATTATATTATAGATTCACTCATATTAAGATTTTTAGTAAACTTGATGCGGAAAAATAAGGCAAATTTGTTTAGCTTAATTATTGATTCCTCGAAAGATGGATTGTCGGGGTAGGTTTGATCTTATGAAATCTCATTAATTGGTTTATTTTTTTTGCGTTCTAGGTTGATCTATATGTGGAATTTTAGGTAAGCTTGATCTTATGAATTTATTACATTTGCTAATATTATTATTGTAGGTTGATGTGTGGATACGGTTTTTAGGTAAGTTTCACCTTTTGAAACTTCATCATTTTTTCATTTTTTTTTTATTGTAGGTTGATTCAAGTGCGGAAATAAAGGGGTAAGTTTAAACTTGTGAAATGCTTATACTTATTTTTTTCTGTTTCTATGTTATAGATTGTTTCAACTATGAAAATCATCGTTGAACTTCATTCAGTCTTCGGATGCCGACTGCGGTATGCATACCATTTCCAGTGTTTCTCATAGTCCAAGAATGACATATATTCAAATCAATCAAAAGGAAATGAACATAGTCTATAGAGTAACCGTTTACATCGATAAAAGAAAATTGCTCTATAGACTATGCCCACTTACTTTTGATTGAGTTGAATATATGTCATTCTTGCATTTTGAGAAACACTGGAAATGGTATGCATACCGCGGTCGGCACCCGAAGATTAAATGAAATTTGGCAGAGCGGACAATTAAAAGAAGGTTTGGTGCTAATCAGTTTGTACGAAACCTTTTTTTGAATTGCTTTTGAAAGGTTTTGTACGAAACCATTGCTACGGAACCTTTTTTTTTAATTGTTTTGAAGAGGTTTTATGCGAAACCAAAAAAGGATCTTCCCGTGTATCCGCGGGAAGATCCTTTTTAGGTTCGGTAAAAAGCTTTTTTTTTAGAGTGTATAACATCTCAAAAATACAAAGCAAAAGATAAATGTCTACAGAACTATTTTGATGGAAAAAATCTCATTTTAAACATAATAAGACACTGATATAATTGCAAAAAAAAGAACACTAGAGAGAACGATATGCTATATTCTTACTATAGAATAATCTTCCAGTATAGAAAAACTTATTCTGAGGAATTTCTAGAAAAAAAAGAATGACCTATTCAAAGAATTTTACTCGATACTTTCGAAATTATTTAATATACTAGCTGTACTCGAGAAAGAGAGAGATCTCCTTTTATTCTTATACGTTTTCTCTTCTAGTTAATATTCCTGCTAATGCCAAATGGGCACAGAACGGAGTCACGATTGCTGGAGGTAACGGGGATGGGGATGCCACTAATCAACTCCGCAGCCCTGGAGGTCTCTTTGTTGATGATGATGATCAAACAGTGGTCATTGCTGACTACAGGAATCATCGTATCATGCAATGGAAAAACGGTGATACAACGAATGGACATGTTGTTGCTGGTGGCAAAGGCCAAGGAAATGGATTACATCAATTGTATTGGCCAACTGATGTATTAATTGACAAAGAGACGGATAGTCTCATTATTTGTGATCGAGAGAATCGACGAGTTGTACGATGGTGTCGTCGTAGTGATACAACACAAGGTGAAATACTCATCGACAACATCCTATGTTGGGGATTAGCAATGGATGAGCAGAGATATCTCTACGTTTCTGACGTCGAAAAACATGCAGCGAGACGATATCAATTGGGTGAGAAGAATGGCACTGTCGTAGCTGGTGGAAATGATAGAGGTAATGGACTCAATCAACTCAACGTGCCGAGATATCTCGTTGTCGATCGACAACAGAATGTCTATGTATCAGACGAACACAATAATCGTGTAATGAAATGGGTGGAAGGTGCAAAAGAGGGTATTGTGGTCGCTGGAGGACAAGGTGAAGGGAATGCTCTGACACAATTGTCTTCTCCTAATGGAATCTTCGTTGATACGTTGGGTACACTCTATATTGCAGATACGGGGAATCATCGTGTAATGCGTTGGACTCAAGGAGACAAGAAACAAGGCACTGTAATTGTGGGTGGAAGTCATCGAGGAGAAGAAGCAAATCAGTTCCAGTTCCCCGCTGGTTTGTCTTTCGATCGACATGGTAATCTGTATGTCGTCGATGCAGGTAATAAGCGTGTTCAACGATTTTCTATCGAATAAGACTTGTGAATTGTTTTTTCTTTGTTCGTTTCTTTTTCTATACTTTGAAATAAATGAACAAAAAAAAAAAATTTTCTTTTACTCTTTCGCTTCAAAGAAAAGAAAAAAGCTAAAATATAAGATTACGTCATATATTTATTTTCTTCTTCTTTTATTTATTTGTTAAATGGAAAGAAACAAATTGATTGGAATGAAAAAATTTTTTTTTTGCTTACCAGTTATTATTGCTCACGCGACCAAGAACTACCTTGGTAGTGCCATAGAGAGCCAAGACTCTTCACGTACAGACATAGATCTAACGTGTATAGAACACAACAGATATAATCAGTGTGAACCTAGCACGACGGAGCTAGCACGATGAAACAGAGATTCAACTATAAGTCTTCTCAGAAGTATTGCCGGCCCATAAAAACCAGACCATTCGATGCAGAATTTAATTCTTGATCGGATGGTGATACTTTTATTCTCCGACAATACTTACGAAGAAATTTTACCTACACCTTTGTTTTCTTCTAAATAGGACAAGAAAAACCGGATAGAATTTTTTCAAAGTATTACCGGGAAATAAAAGTATCACCATCCAATCAAGAATTAAATTCTGCAACGAATGGTCTGGTTTTTATGGGCCGGCAATACTTCTGAGAAGACTTATAGTTGAATCTCTGTTTCATCGTGCTAGCTCCGTCGTGCTAGCTTCACACTGATACAGATATATCTATATGCGACCTGTACGTGCTTTGGGCACCAAGATAGGCTTGACCAGTTTCACGCCGATGTATGGAAGACCTCCGTAGGACGTAATATATATACAAAATATACAAGAGTATACTTACTTTTTTGTATTACTAAAATAGAAAATAGAAAAACAATTATAATCGTATAAAATAGAAATACAAGATTAAAACTAAAATGAAAATAGAAAGACAATTATTATCATATAAAAATTAAAATAAATGGGATAAAAAGCTGAGACAACGAAAAAAAAATTTAAAAACTAAAACTATAATACTTACCTCTGATATTGAACCATGATCAGTACGAATACAAGCTAAAATAGTTAAAAAATAAAATACACATGTAATATAGTAAGAAGAAGAGAAAGAAAGATGGGGAATGATTTCTAATGTTAAAAATCATTGCTGTTTATAGTCATTTTTGTTATTCGTAAGAAATAGACAATTGGTAAGCAATCGAGATCAAAATAATTTCATTTCTGTTTGTAAACTTTAACATCCCGCTCACTACATAAAGTGGTCTTCTGATGGTTTTAATTGATTGTTGTGCAATCGATCGTAAAGATCACAGCATTCCTGAGAGTGACAAAAAAACAAATCTCGTGGTATTGACTAGACCGCTAATTGATCTTTTATGTTGTCGTGTTACATCGTATATGCACTACCAACAATTATTGACGGTCTTTTATATTTATTTTTCTAGATGATGTTTTACATGTATACAAAAATTGCTCAACGTTTATGACTTATTTTTCAATTAAATCTTGATATGAACATTCAGTTTCTATATTTAAAAACAACAGTAAAGAATAAGTAATTGAAAAGATAAAATTTATTTGTATTTTTAATAGTTTTCAAAATTAAATCTTCTCGCATGAAATAATCGACATTTTCTCGTCAAACATAAAATTATAGCTATTTGATTATTAATATTGTCACGATGAGGAAGTATTTCTCTAAATATTTTCACATTCTCCAAGACTACATACGAAAGGGAATTCAGAGGTGTCGGAGAAAAAAAACATCAACTATTCAGTCAGTTTCACTGTTGTTCACTTCTGAGTCGCTTGTAAATAATTCTTTTTTTATTCCTTTTCAAGAGAACAATAAAATTGATATTATGAAATCTTAAATGGTTAGGTAGAAGCTTTTATTCGATTGATGAAAAACAAAATTGAAACGAATACAAATAGAAAACAGAAATATTGTAAATGGATCGTACATATATCATTAGAATTCGATAATTAGATGTTTGTTGATCAAGGGATATGGTCAAACGTACAGAAAGACGAATTCATAGTGTCATCAAACCATTTTCTATTCAAAAAAATGCTTAGTTTTCTTTTAAAGATAATGTCCGATCGAGCTTTCACGAGAAAATTTATTTAACGATTATGAGTAATATCTTTTATTGAATTACAATGTGAATACATTTGATGAATTGTTACTTTACGAGTATCATACATTTATTCATCCTATCCAATATGTGAGTCTAGAAATGACTGTCGAAAAACAAGAACGATGATCATGGAAAAATCTATCTTGAAAAGATGAAATAATTCAGGATTAAAATTTGAAAGTTACATTTTGTTCGGTCATCTTTTTTTTATTAAATAGCAACAATTATTTGATTAACTTGAATTAAAGATGATAAATTGTAATACTTGTTCAGTCTACAAGTGAAATAATACTATTCAGACAATATTCTTAGTCTAAATAAAAAAGATGATAAATATCTCATATAATTCTCAAAGGAATAATTCATTTTCTTATTTTTGAACACAACTATGAAAGAGTTGACATTGTTATTAACGAATTCGTAGCAACATATATCAATACAAAATCGATCTAGTACTGAATCAGAAATTGAACAAATCTCATTAGTTATTGATGTTCTTGTAGTATAATAATAATTATTTCATTAAGTAGATCAGCAAGATGAACGTTATTTCGATGCATGTTTCAATGTGTTCTGTAGAACACAAGCATAATCTTCCAATCAAAATGATAATACTTCGAAGTTTTCTGGAGCGGAGAACTCGAATCTATTAGCTCTAATTGCCTCGAAATCCTATTGCTTGAGCACTAGCCAATAGAGATCAAGTTTTAGAAAAAACTACTTTCTTAGAATAATTCAAGGCGAAGAGTTCAGAACCGATGAACTGTTCAAAACTTTCGCTATCATAGACTGAACTATTTGAACAGTTCTTTTCAGCAAACTTAAGCTTTTGAAATAGTTTGACTCTATGATTTGATCATCATGAAAAGCTATACATGTCATCATCAGGATTAGTTAGGAACATGTCAGGCTCTATATCTATGACTCCGTTAATGTGCTATGCGGGATTCACAAGTCATTAAGGCCTATTCTATGAGATACTCACAGGTCCACAAGTCCTTTAATATGTGGGTACCGATAGTTTCTCAAATTCTATTATATAAGAGTACCAAGAGGTCCTTAATGACTATCCTATGGGTATTCCTATATAGTAGGTCTTGCGGGTCTATGGATCCACTCATATTATAACATCTAGAATAACTTCAAGGTAGGTTCATTTGAATGAAGTTCGTCAACGTGAGCCGGTTAACCTCTATTCCTTACTACTTTCCAAGATGATTTTGTAGACACTCTAGTCAAAACCAATCCGTCGTCCATAATTTTTTCCTTTTTGCAGTACACATAACACTCAGATTTAAATCCGAGGTTACCGCAATTTCTTTTTCTTAGTAAGGATTTGATCAAAATAGCGACTGTTTATATTATTACACAATGTATGGTATGGCTTAATAAACCAAGCCTATATTGATCACTATGCCTACATGTTTTGATCGACAGTTATGATTTAGAATGTTGATAACCAACTCAACGCATAATTTTAAGGTATAATATTGAATGATATTATTGTGAGCAAAAAAGCAAAGTTCTTATCGTGATATGCTAAGTCGCAGATGGGTAGTTCTTTTCCTTAATTGAACTAACTGAGCCATTTTTTGCATACAATAATTCGATGAGAACCTAGAATAATTCATTTAGTTTAGTCTTTCACCAGTGCACGTATTGAGCACGAGGTATCTGAAAAAGTACCCTACTGCGTAATTGTCTAGTAAGTCAGAATTTGAAAGTACTGCTTCGATACTCTTTCGGGTATCATCCTACAGTAACTTGAGGTACCCAATACAAGTATTACATTATACTCAGGATCTATTCTTGTTTTTGAACTTTTCCAATTTTGAATTTTTATTTTGTATCATATCACAAAAACATAAGCCTTAATATTTACGATTAAAATTTTCATTGAATCAAGTAAACCACTAATTTCCGATTATTTATCAGACTCATAGAAAATTAATAATACCGCACAAAAGAAATAGTGCTAATATTTTATCCTTTCTGAAGTAGATAGACTATTATATGAAAAGAACATAATATTCTTTTCGTTTCTCTCTTATTCAGATTCAGTAGTATTCATTTCTTTTCTTCTCCTGATATAATTTCGTTTTTAATTGATGTACTCAATGATTTTAATGCTGATTCACTATCATTATCAGTTTCTTGCTTTACAATCTGATTATAAAACTGCACTGCTGTTCTTAAATAAATTAAAATTAAAAGAGTATGTTTGCAAAAGCACTGAATGATTGATCTTATTTTATTTTGTCTGGATGGTGTCGGTGAAGCTTTAATTGGCTCGAAATATTTCTTTCATTCGTCTCTCATTAATAAATAGTCAAAAAATTTACATTCAACTTGTACATTTTCCTTGGCATCTTTCTTATTCTAAAGTTTAAGAAAAAAGAGCATACAGGGAGAAACCAATATAATAAATGTAAAAGTTAAATAATCAAGTTTTTAATATGTGACCATATAGTCTGATTATTTGCTTGAATATCTTCCTTGACGAACACGCGTCTATTGGACCAGATATCCATTTGAGACGCTTCAATCCATTGAGTTTTCCTCAAAAATTTGTATCCGAAGAAAAGAAGTAGAAATACAGGGATGAGAATGTAGGAAACAGCGAACGACACGATATCGAATGGTCGAAAGAAACTAGTGTATCCTTGAAAGAAAATGAGGAATATATTGGCCCCGAGTCCGAAGTAGGCACCGTATGGATACCATATCGCTCGAAATGGTAATTCATCACCACTTACACCTTGTGCTGCTAATCCACGACGAAATTGAATAGGCGTACGGGTTATGACAGCCCAAACGATTAGGGATGCACCAATTCCAATTCTTGACTTGGAATTGGAATTGGAATTAGTATTGGTCGAAATCGGTCTGAAATCGATATTCAGATTCAAGGCCTTATGCATCTCCTTTTTTTATTTTATTTTTGGCGAATTCAAGCACTTGCTACTCAAGAATAATCAATTGTACCATCAATTTCAGTTAATTCTACACTCATTTAGAGCCAAATATTTACCGATTTCAGACCGATTCCGACCAATTTTAGGAATTGAATGGACTCGAATTGCAAGTTGTGCATCCCTATCTGAGAATTTAGAATTGAACTTGCATTGCATGTGAAACGTATCATATGCGCCCATTCCACGTCATATCGTTTATTTATTAGGCTTCTGAAGAAAACTGGTGTGGCAGAATTTTTCGAAACAAACATATTAGGAAGACGCACAAGACCGCAGGCAGCTGATAAACAGAGGTTTTTTCGAGCTTGTGATGCTTTCTTGGTTTGAGACACGGAACTAAAAACTTTGTGGAATAGAGCTCTATACATTTTCTGTTTTGTATTAATTTAAAAGAGTAAAAACGATCTAGAATTTCTAAATACGAGAGGGGTGAACAAATGATTGCAACTTTCTAAAGAGAAGAGGCGGTAACTAGGTTTGTACTATTTGGAAAAGAACCCTGAGGGACGTCAAGAAAAACTTTCACAAATATTTTTCTGGTTTACAATAACTCGGAAAAATTCAAAAAATGAGCCTGTTTTCTCGAAGAAAAATTTTATTTGTTCTGTCAATTTTGTAGAGCTCGACCTCCGCTTTGTTAACTTTTTGGAAAATTTTATTTTTTGGCTCTAAAATACAATGAGCATTGGACGATCGATTATGCAGATCATCATGTGACTGTTAGTTTTTTGTTTGAAGATGAAAGGATTGATCAAATGGCATTTTGAGAAAAGGGTACTTTTTCTTGTATATGGAAGAATATGCGATTCTTTAAAAAAAGTCACTTAATGAACTTTTTCGCGTCCAGACGGAAAAGTAACAATACCACGATGATCAGTGCACTCCGCTGCTCTACGCTCCATGCCTCTTAGAGCCTAAACGGTCGAATTTTCCGAAAACTTAGCCGATTTTGTAATGTTTATAACTCGGTAAGGAAGCAAAATTTTTGCAGTTGCTTAGAAACCATTCAAAAACGGACTATAAACCTCGTAGGAAAAGAAAAAAACATTTTGAGAAAGTAGGATAAATTTTTGAATTTTTCTGAGTTATAATAACCCATAAAAATATTTGAGAACAATTTTTCTAGTCATACGTAAACATCCCCGGTGTACTCTTTCGAGTAGCAGAAACCGCCAGCTGCTAGCTCTTTTACCCAGGAGAATGATTCTGATAGTAGGATACTATCTGTATCCGGGTGTGGGACCTACAATGGGAATCCTAGTGTTGGAATCTGATAGGTGCTAGTGTTGGAATTTAATGAAATCCAACATTAGCATTCGACCCATGTTTTCTATTGACACCATATGCTTATTCATTGGTGATTAAGAAAAAAAAATTTCCACCGGATTCGTTAGTAGGTCCTAGGCCCGAAATCCGATTGGATTTTGTCGGGTCCCATGAGATCCGATAGGATTCACCGTCGAATTCATTCACCTGAATAGTTAATCTAGTAATTTTGTCCACCCTCTCGTATTCAATAGCGCATAATAGACTCCTTCCTAAGAATCTATTCAACACTTCAGAAAACGACAATAAAACATTTCCGATAGTGTGCAAGCAAACCATCTAAATAGAACAAAAGAATATACTTTCTAAAGTAAACACGATTCATCTGTCTTTTATTACATCATTTTAGGAGTTAAACCTCGCTGCTCTTTCAAACCTTGATACCATCAAAGTCAGAGGAGTTTTGCAAAGTGATACATATTGATTAGTATCTCATTTCAACGAGTAATATGAAAATTTTGACTGAGCTTCAGACAACGTCGATGAAATAGCAACCAACACAACTACAATGCCACACAATCTCTGCAAACTTAAAAGCTTAAATCAGTATTGATACATTAAACAATTTTCATCAAAGTGGTAAAGTGAATTTTTATATTTCATTTAGTAAATGAACAAATAAAAATAAATGATGTTTCACACTCTTCATGTAATTAATAAAAATATGGATGGAAAGAAATTATATGTTATGTCTGATACTATGGACATCTATCGAAACAGATAGAGCGTCTAAACATATATGCATATCTAAACGTTTTCATGCATTTCGATACGTCGGCTAGGCGGACATATTCTATCAGAACATTTAACTCTAGTGTGTTATCGTAAGAAATGCATTGGATAGATAGAAGAATATTTCTAATAAATTATATTGGATAAATATAAGGGCATTTAAGAAATTATCAGCTTTAAATAGGCATGTATGGCAGTAACATCTTATTCTTGACTGTCTGATGAACAGATAGGATGATATCCGTCGAAGTCTCTCTTAACAGATGAGTCATTCAAGAATGATGTTCGTTAACACCACCAAACTATCCTGTTGTCCTGTGAATTTTCGATGTCAACAAATATGAACCAAAGCAATGTTGCCGATGGTAGAGAAGAGGATAATGTGGTTTTAACAGTCCTGATTCCATTCTCCGAAGCTCTCTCTCTCCAGAGGCAGCACCATCCAGAATGGGATGTTCTACCCTAAGCAATCTCACAGGGGGCTGCCTACAGACGTATCACCATTTCACATAACTGTCCTGATGGATCTTTTTGTCTCTATGCATCCGAACGCACGGGAAAAGCTACATGGATTCCAGAAGATAACATATTTGTGGCCAATCGATCTCAAGGAACATCAACTGAATCCGTCATGGATTTTTTCGTGCCTCGTACTGGTGGAGACAGCAGACCCGTAGGTTATGGTTTCCTCAGTCCTGGAGCTATAAGCCCATCCTTGAATAGAAATAATCAGAGATCACTAGTTCATTAGCCCGGGCCTATAAGAAACCATAGTCGTTTTTCGACCCATTAATTGAATAACCGACACGATTTGTTGGCATGACCCGAACCGCAGCCAACAGGATTAGGATCAAGTCGAACGGTCGCTAGGAAAGAATAGAGAGAGGGGCGATTTGAGGTTAATCGAACATTAATTACTCCGGCAACAAACACTCCTTCATTACCAATATCATCAAATTTCATAATCACATTATTACAGTCAATGCAACTCCTATTTTAAATACGGGACAACCACCTTTACCAGCTTCACCAACATCATTAACAGATCCGAAAACACCGATTACTACACCATACCAACACTATATGCAGCGAATGATCTTTAACAACAGCAATCCAGTTTTAGATGGTGTCATAGGCCCGAGCGCTATTAACCTCATCAGTGATGACAACAATAATCAAGATGAATATAGCCTCCCAATAGCTCATTAAATGATTTCGTATACGGACAGTATAGGCCCTAAAGGCCAACTAATTGTTTTATGTGTGTTATTTTTTGTGAAAGTCTTCATAGATTTATCACCTCATGTAAGCTCATAACCATTCAGGTGAAAGCACTTTTAGTAAAACGTTTAGAACTAAAAGCCCTGTTCGTTTCTCTGTTGGTCTATTGAGCAACGAGGTGCAACTAGTGTTTTTAATCTACGGTGATTAAGTCCTGTTTGATAATTATGGATCCTTAAAAGGAAACTCAGGAAACGGGCCGAAACTAGTAGCCGAATAAAATAAACTAAAAAAATATTTTTGCATTCACTCAAGATAAAACATTTCAAAGTAAAAACTACTAATAACAAATCACACATGGTAGAAGCATATATAATCACATCCAAAAATAATGAAAAAATTATTACATTCATTAATATCATCGTGATCGACTTTTTTTCTTATATATTTGTATTATTCAGTGTTGTTATTAATTTTCAATAAAAAATCCATAATTTCCATTAAACTAAGACCAAAGTTCGACTATAAATTTAAAACGATAACAGTAATAATCTGATTGTCTTTTTTTATAAACACCATATGCATGAATTCGTTGCCACGTATTCATTTATTGATGAGAAAGGAAAAGAAATGCTTTTGAAAATGGTACCCATGCATAAATAGATCCAAAAAATAGTTGTAAACATGACTAGAGCTCATATAGGATTTCATTCAGCGTATTTTGTTGAGATGGAAATCATCACTTTGATTTTTTTCGAAAAACTCATGTGAAGATCGTCGGATTGATTTAAGTTTTTCATTGTGTATGGTTGTGAAATATAAAAATAAATATCTGACCATGTATAATTACCATTTTGTTTAATATTAAAACTTCATTAATTAGCCAGAAAAGAACTAACTATAAAAAAATGAAAACAAAAATTTCTTCGTTCCATATCTGACGGCAACCTTTTGTTTTAATCAAAGAATTAATTAAAAAATGGTAGTAAGTAGTCGAATGTCATATTTTGGAACGGCAAAAAGCTCTAATTGGTAGTGTAGCGAATTAAATTTGTGTAAACTACACCTATCTTCAAAGATGGCATTCTCATGTAGTGTTTGCTGTCCGTATAGATATGAGCTAAATAACTATGAGCTTGGTAGCTAAATTAGTATATTAGTCGATTTTTCTAATATCGCAATGCTATTTAAATTTTTAATAGCCATGAAATAATTCATATTAAAATCCATATCACTATGCGTACAAATAAATACTGGACAACTTCAATATGTTTGAGTACTTGGCATAAGAAGTATATACAGTTCGAATTCGATAAATATCAGTTTCTTTTGAGTTATAATAATTTGATAAAATCATATAGTATCGCAATAAATGACTTCGGCGAAATTAGAAAACGCTATATCACTCTTTGCATGAGTTGTTTCATTTAGCAACGAAAATGAAAAAAATAAATAATTTAATAGTTAGTCAAATAATATATTTGATTCTTTTTCTAGTTTAGCCTTATGCCCTGTGCACATATTCACGAATATTTTTTTTTGTAAAAATAACAATTAACTATTGTATACACAACAAACAAGAAAATAAGTATTTCTCCTATACAGCTGATTTAGATCGAGCTGTTACAACTAATTCAACTGATATTGATGATAAATTTTCATCATTAGGCATGAAATGAGTTACTTTCACTCGGCTAAAACTGATAGAAGAGAATAATTTGTTAAATATTCTTATAGAATGTAAAAAGCTACTTTATTCAGCAATATATTACGGCTTTTTTAAATGATATTTATAATACTCAAACAGACGAATAAAAGATTCTTATCATAAAAAAATGATATTTTTCAGTTCAATTATTATTGAAATTAAATTGTATTCTTAATTTCCACGTTTTTGTCTTTCTTCTAAGTAGGCTTGTTTTTCAGCTTCAGTTAAACCGTCTTTTGGAGGATTATCAACGTGATTTAATTCGTATTTACCACCTTGAACTTCAATTAACATTTTTGCTTGTGTTGTTGAAAGTGGTTCAGTAGGAGCTTGAACATGTTTTAATTCATAATCTTTTTTTGCTACTTCAGCTAGAAGAGCTTTTTGAGCTGATTCAATTGAAGACATCGTATTGAAGTTAAAGCGATAAGAATAATAATCTAAAATAAAAAATGATCAATACTTTTTTTACGATTAAGTTACATAACAGTACATAGTTCATGATTGAACACGAATAGATATTGGTTTATTTTAACCTCTAATGACAAAAAAATCGAATAGCACAAGTCACGATAGTAGTCATCGATGTGTAACAATATTTTATTCTTGCTATCTCAAGAAGCTGATGAAGCTTTTAATAGTTTTGGTTCTATGAAAAATGACGAATATATATGTTGTTATAAACGAAAGAAAAATCCTTAGACCTACGTGGAGATATTCTTCGAAGATATGTCTTATCTATATAGTATTCAAAAAGTTTTAAAAATACTTTCTACCCACAATTAAATGTATATGAGACGTAGAAATATGTTAGTAAGAGTATTTTCATTGAAATTAATTCGGTAATATTTTTATCTTGAAAATATTCATATTGGTTCATTTATGAAAATTATAAAAACTATTTGCACCTATGTAGTAACTAACTATGTTACAAATAAATCTATTTTAAAAACGGTATATTTTCGTTAGAGAAATATTAAGACTATCGTTTTCTAAATAGCTTAGTTTTTCACACGAATCGATAGAATACATGGTAAGTAGACCTACACGTCAAAAGAACTCCTTTGGTGGTATCGAGATGTACTGTAAAAATGAAGACAGCAGTTTCAAATAAATACTTCCTGAAATTTATGATTATACACGACTACTCTCCCGTAGGTGATTAAGAAAATGTTCATAGTAGGAAACTTAAGGTCAACTGTATAAAGTCGGGTATCATTATTATGTTTGAGAACATTATAATTGTGATGCTTTATATTCATTCGTTTTAGAGCGTAATCAGACCTTTCAACGACAAAGAAAAATATGAAATGAAAGAGCTTTTATTTTGAATGTGATTCTTTTTTTTTGTGATTAACCCATACTAAGTTTTTTTATAATAACCAAATCGGTAATAATATTTACTTTTTCTTCTATGATTGGTACTCGAATAAAATAAAACAAATGCCGTGCGTTTTCGAGAGCAATCAATCACGAAATATGAATAATACGTATAAAACATTTAAAAAAATATTATATATGGCCGTCTCCCTTTTTTTTTGGTTCTTCTATTAAACATATTTTTAGATATTACCAGTCATATGCCAGAGTATGATGAAGTTGAGTATTCTTTCAGGTTGTTTGATAGTAGCAGGAATGAATCATTTGACTAGGGCATAGAAATTAAAAAGAACAACTCAAGGAGTCTAAGTAAAATATTCTTACTGAAAATTTATTCGTACGAAATATTGTTTATCTCTAATGTGGTATGTTTTAAACTAACTGGTTCGATCAGAAAAAATAGATTATCATATCATATCGAAAGTATGGTGAATTTTACTAATATGTATCATTAAAAAATTCTATAACACGAAGCAACTCATGATTTGTCGAGTATGCAAGATATTTTACTATTTGTCTCTATTCGATAAAACTACCAAAACCNTATAGGTCAGTTTTCTTTTACTATGTGTTCTAATGCCAGTTCACATGATATTGCATGAGCGGAATGAGTTTATCAGGATTTTTTCCATCAAGACTTATAATTCCTGCCACTTAGGTAGATTGAGTAGAAGTATAAAGTCTGACAAAGCTGATGATACATGGAAGTCATTGAAATTTGTGTTTTCCTACTCATATTTTTACGTTGATTACGAATGTTGTATTAGTTAGGTTGAATTCGACATCTTTTACAATCAAATATGCAATTGAAAACTGAAAATAAGCAGAAAAATTGAATTCAACTCTAATAATTGCCTAAATATTTTGGCATGCGTTTTGCTTTTTCTTTGATATCTTTATGTCATTTTGTAGCACTTAAAATTCNTGAGTAGAAGTATAAGGCCTGACAAAGCTGATGATACATGAAAGTCATTGAAATTTGTGTTTTCCTACTCATATTTTTACGTTGATTACGAATATTGTATTAGTTAGGTTGAATTCGACATCTTTTACAATCAAATATGCAATTGAAAACTGAAAATAAGCAGAAAAATTGAATTCAGCTCTAATAATTACCTAAATATTTTGGCACGCGTTTTGCTTTTTCTTTGATATCTTTATGTCATTTTGTAGCGCTTAAAATTCTCTATCAAACGATATATAAACAAATGTTTTTGAAGTTCTTTATGATCGTGAAAAACCAATTGAAAGTGATTGGAGAGCAAAAAAATGCTGTTTCAGTCAAAGTATTCACTGTAAAATAAGAAACAAACAACATTTTTTCAAGCTCTTTTAAAATGCGTTAGATAGAGCGAAGAATTCTCTATTGATTCATATAGAAAAAGTTTTATTTCATTTCTACTTTATGAGTGAAGTCAGTTCAAAACTAAATACAATCAGGAGCATAATTTTGATCAAAAATTTGACCTTGATCTGATTATAACTGACGCTAGTCGAATCGGAATAGCATAAAATTTGGAGAACACATGTAACAAAATGTGCTCTATCGAATGAGACTATAAAATCGAAAATCCATGATCCACGACCGCGCCCCCTTAATTCCAATATTTCTAAAGAGTAGTATACGTCTAAAATGTTTTATTTCTCAGTTAGTGTGTTGATTTCTAAGCCGCTACATTGATTGTTGAGCAAATAGTGAAGAAAAATGTGTATCATGGGATGATCATAAAAAGTTTTATGGCCTGAGGGAACAAATCTTTTTATCATACTGTAAAATTCACCGTATGGTTTTTTTTCCTTTCGTTAGTTACACTGTAGAGGCTGTGTCTAGAGATTCAGATTAATCACCGACTTAAGCTATGACATAACCCTCAGTCAACTATTGCAAAGACTATTTTATGTTTGACCAAAGAAAGATATTCATCCTTCGAGTTGGTTTTTCAAACAATATTTGTCACTAAAATCTCATCAATTGTTGTCAGAATCTTCGCTCTGTTTTGTTGAAAAGAACACATCCAAGAACCAATCACATTTGTTTTAGACTGATCTGCAATGGATTTTAATAATAGAAAGCAACAATAGTGTTTGAGAATAGATCTAAAAAGAAAATATTCAAGTTAGAGCTTGAACAGTGAAAAAATCTGATTCGATTTATAGAATAAATGATCTAATACTTGCTGTTGCATACTTAATCGACTCTGAGGAAAATGCATAATTCATGATTTCAATTGCAAAAGAGATGGCATTGTGTTCATTCAATGTGAAATAAATAGGCGGCTTGCGTCCTTATGAATAGAACTATAGTTTATAATAATCAATTTTTTTGTCTAACAATGAGTAATAGCGCCATCTGTATGAGACTTTGAAAATAAATTTTGGTCTTTAAAAGTCACGAGCGACATCAAAATCTTAACTGACGATAATAAAATTTTTGATTGGTAAACAAGCTGAGATATAGGATTCGAATCATTTCAAAGCATAGAAAGATGGTTAGCGTAACAAATAAAGAAACAATCGACAAGAAATAAATTTCTTCTCTTTGAAACTGAACGGATAATTTTATTTCTTCTTGTTTAGAACTCTACTAATTTGCTTTGACTTAAAAAAGAATTCAAATGGTTTTCTTTTTTACTAGCAATGGTAAATTACTTTCCTCTAGTTTACCGTAATTTTTACATTGTTTCTCGTATAGTCGTTAATCCACCTTATACGATCTATATGGGTCGGGACAAATATGAAAGTAAATAATAAAAATTTACTCTTGTATTGAATAAACTGAAATTATTCGTTGTTAGATAATGAATTATTGAAATATTGCTGGCCAGAAGATATATGGTTTGTAGATTAGTAGGAATTTGTTTTTATTGATCTTGACATTTTTACGCCTTCAGGTTTCATGTCAGTAAATTATCTTCGGCTCATGTCTATTTAAGACTTCGCAAGGTAATTATCGATAGTTTTCATATTTAAAACAAAAAGGATCATTTTACGTTATTTAGGGTGAAACTATCGATAACATAAATGCGGATGCCCTAGAGGATTGCTGCCAATTAGTTAAAGCTAATAGCATTGAAGGATGTAAACTAAATAAAGTCGATATTGTTTATACATCTGTTGATAATCTTCGACAAACAAATGATATGGATGTTGGTCAAGTTGGATTTCATGTTGATAAAAATGTAAGATGATTAATTTTCTCATAGGTCCAAAATGAAACGATCAGTTTTTATTCATAAAATGTCTTCCGATAGTCTTCAGAATGGATGCATATGAACTATCCATAAACATATAGAGAATTGCGAAATTCTGTATAAAATGGAATTTTACTAGGAACAATTATAACTTTCCGATATCATGCCTACAAGATAGATATGATCGAAAAATGTTCTTTTTTTTTAACGAACTATCTTTTAGCAACCTAAAAGGCTCATACATTTTTCATAAATATTATTTAAAACTGTCTCTTAGCGAATACACAACAATAACACATGTCGTGATTTTTTTTAAAGTAGTGTAGATAATACTATTGTTTAGCCATAGAACATAATGATTTTGGGAACTACCGTATAATTCAGAACGTATGCTGCAAACTTCTGAAATTGCCTACTTGAAAGTCTGAAATTTATTTTCGAAAATAAAACTAAGACAGTAATGAAACTCAAGCGAAAAGGTACTATCAAATTACTGATGTTGTTATTTTCTAAATAAATCACATGTTATTTAGAAAGTATGATGCTTGTTTTTGTGCTTTCTCTTGTTAGCATTATAAATAGTAGATGCTATTGTAACATCTAAGCATTTGAATTTTGTGGAAGTTTAATGAGCGAATTTTCTGGAAACATAGCAACTATTCATTATGAATCACCTGATGTTAATTTTTTTTAATTTACTTTCTCTAGGTGAGACAATATATTGTGAGCAAAAAACAAAACGACATTGTCAATCGATTAAATAAAACAAAAACTGAAATTTCAACAGAACTATTTATCGTATAATTTGTTCCTTATTGAAAAAAACCAATTTGACAATATTCGATTTAATATTTAGACTCAACGAGAGCAACGTGATAATTTAGAACGGGAAGACAAAAAGCGTTTAATGAGAGAACAAAAACAACGTGATAAAGAAGAAGACAAACGTCGGCAAGAACAATCTGAATTAAGGTTGACCAATAGTTCATTTATATTTAAAAACAAATTAGTTCTATTTTTTTTCTCTAGAAATTATACTTCGCTTATGCATTCGGATAAGATGCGATCGAACAAGGTATGCTCTTACTCTTAATATTTAAAAGAGAAATTAATATTTCAGCCGTAGAGATTAATCTTCGGTAAAGAAACGAATAACTTCAAGTATAGAAATTTCAAATGCAGTCTTTTTTATTTTTTATTCATGGATGCTCTCTATAAAACAGTTGACAAATCCTTTTATACCCAGGGCGAACCATCAGATACTAAGATCTGATAGGAATCTGAATCTGATCTTGTACGATCATGGAAAATCATACAAAAAATCTTAGTCACTGAGATCTTTTGTATGATTCTTGTATGTGTTTCATAAGATTTTGTGTCAGATTTTTCGACCTGGGTGACACATAGAAATAAAATACTGACAGGAAATTATATTTGAAATGTTGTTGTATTTGTTAATGTGTGACCACCAGAAGTCTTCCATCATATCTATCCAATTGAGTTGTTTTTATTTGTCTAATCAATCATCAGGAATATAAAATATTATTATTCATAAATTGCAATTTTTAGAAAAGTTATCCGTCATTTTCTCTTATAAATTTAACTATATTTATAAGCTGACTCTAATGTGTTTTTTTTATAGGATGGTAATGATTCGGATGAATTCATGTAATTGAACCTCAATTTACATTGTAAATTGTTTTCATTTTATTGTGTACCATCGGTTTCTGTTGTTTTTGGTTGATTGATATATAAAATAAAATACATTGTTCGATCTTAATTCTTATTTTTAGATGAGAATTTTTTGAGTATGACAACAAATCATAGGCCATTATCAATCATTGCTAAATGTGCATTATGCTCAATAAAAGCTGAACTATTTGTTTGTTCACATTGTGATAAAGTTATTTGTCAAATATGTCTTGATAAACATCAATTAAAACTTAATGAAATACTAAAAGAACAATGGAGCTTATGTAAAACAAAATATTTGAATTTATATCATTTATCAGGTTTTATTCACACGAGGAGAAATATATTGCCAATGATATTGTGTTTTTTTTTTCTTTCTTTATATAAATAGACAATCATGCTAAAGAAATGGTGAACGTTGAGAATGAAATGGATCGAATACGTTTACTGGTTAATCAACGATATACGGATCTCGTAAATTTAATAGAGAATGAGAAACATAATATATTAAATAAAATAGAAGAGAATATTCAATTGAATTCATCAAAGTGAGTTTTATACTAAAAAGATAACAGTATTTTGAAAAACAACAAAGTTATGTATTATTAGCGTGAAGCATACAGATCTTCAACATTTGCTTGATTCGATTGGTCAACGGCTTGATAATATTTTTGAGTAAGAAGGTATTCGAAATATAAAATTAGTTTCTACATTTATCTATATCTATAGAGACCCTAATGCTTCATATGATACAGAAGACTTTCTTTTGGAAATCGAACACTTCAATACACTAATGAATACTCGAGAAAAACAGATGCAGACTAGTTCGTTTAAAGTATGTTATTATTAATTGGTACATTCTTTAGTTGCGAGAGGAGTTCTCGTTCTGAGGAATAACATGATATCCAGTAGATAAACTGATTTTTGATTCAAAACATTTAATAGATAAGTGAGCGATTGATAAATCTTTAAATTTACTTTTATCCTAACTGAAGAACACTAAATCTGAGGGTTTCTATAAAGTATATAAAAGACTAGATATAGTTTTATTTGTATATTATATGAAGAATAGTGACAAGCATTAAAACAATGGCAATTAACTTTTATCGTACAAATCTTTATTTCGATTCGACAATCCAAATTTTCTAGTATTTCACAAATGATTAATGTAATTCGTTAGAAAACAAAACATCCTAAATATCTGAAACCATGACTGGAAAAGTCATCGACCCATTGAAGAATATTTTTAAGACTATTTGAAAAAAAAATTAATCTTCATTAGAGAAAACAGTGTTTTGAATCATCAAAATATCTCTTCACATTATATCAACATATGGATAAGTCTGTTTTATTTATTTATAGTACCCTAGTTTATCCCCTATGAAACCAACGAGTATATCTGATATATTTGGTGAATTACAATGGAATTTTTCACCGATGTCAAATCCCACATTGACTAGATCATCGATTATTGATAGCCGATCTTTAAATTCAAAATTGAATGGATCTATTTCTTCCGAGACTAATGATGAATTTCACGAGGGCTCGACGATAACACCCAAGAAACCAACATCAATGCCTGTAATGCAAAGACAAAAACAATGGACACTAGATGCAGCAGGTGTACCTCATTTTTTATGTATACTTTCAAAGAAAAATCACCTTCTATTTGCATGTGATAAATATGGCTCTATTGATTTATATCAACTTGATAGTAATGAACCAAGAATTGCTCCTCGTCATCTACGACAATTTGAACTTTTCCCTGGAAATACGGCTAGTCCACAACCACAAATCATTGAAACGTTTACTGTCTATACACCATTTATAGTAGTCTCCGCTCGTATGTATGAGATTTAGAATTAAATTTAAAATATCGTTTTCTATTTTTTGAAAATCAAGACTTAAATGATCAAGCCGATACAAGTTCAATCTATTTTTTTGATCATCGTGGGGTAAAACAAGCTGATACATGTCTACAAAATTTTCCTGTTCGACAATTATCAGCCGATGTAAGTTTTAAATGTTTATGGGGTATTGATCGTCATCAGCATTTAGGTAAGAAATCTTTTAGGCCAAGTTATTGAAATAAATATCTTATTGATTTTATAGTTTATTATAATCAATTACCGATGAATGTTCAACAGATTGCGAATTGTATTCAGCATCGCGAAGATTTTATTAAATTTTCTCGAAATTTTGAACCGATCAGGTAATTTCTCAAGACAACACTTGAATTTAATAAAAAGAAAATAATTCTTAGAATAGCTCAAAATCAAACGTCCATTGCTATTATTGAACGTAATTCTCAATGTGCACAAATATTTGATAAAAAAACAAAGAAGAAAATAGATGAAGTTGAAAATTTACTACGTACAAAAGGAATATTTCGTTTATGGAATGTCCTAGTAGGTGTTTATTCATATTTTTACACTTAGATATAGTTAGTAGAAAAAAAAAGAGGATGCACTACAAGACGTATTGGAAACACTTACTCAATCGTTAACCCTTTCCGGCCCGCTGTTTGAAAATTGTCGTACCCCCCTAGGGGAAATGTTACCATATGGCAACATCGGGCCGTAAAACGTTAAAGTGACATATATTTTATTGCGTATCTTTCACTGCCGATACGATTGAAATACTGTACAATCAATTATCAATGTCACAAACATAATCATCGTGCATTAACACGATAAATTGTTTTTTCTCTTATTAACATATGAAACATTATAGTAGGAGTCGTTTGTCCTCGGATGATGTTAAGGAAAAGTTATTCATTTATAATTCCAGATGTAAAACTATTTTTATATACATTTAATCACGTTACAATTATTTTAAAATAGTTAACCAATGCTTTGGCAGTTTGAAACATAACCACAGTCAGCGCCAATGAATAGAAATCGTCTTGGATGAAAAATAAAAAATAGTTAATTGGAATTTTACTCGAAATCGATTCTAATTGAAGCGACAACTACTGATCGCTCTGAATTTCGATTAGTTTGAAAACAAAACATTCACATTGAAAATAAACACTGCTTTGAAAAGTCTATATTTATAATATGAAATACAACAACAGTATCCTGATTTAGTATGGGTCTTATTTTTCGTGTTGTAAAACACTGATAACTCAAGAGCATTTTTATAAAATCTAAGCTAATTTACTCTAAAACGATTTAAAAGTTCCGGCCACTGATAAAAATGGTTCTAATGTAGGTCTATAACAATTACAGGCGTTAACCTACAATTATATGCAGCGTATCAAAAACTTACCGATATAATAAATGAAGAACTATTTCTTGTATTTCTACAGGATTAAGAAAAAGCATGATGACCGAATCGGCTTCATAATAGATAAGATAAAATAATCTCCTCACGCTCATGATTAACAACAATAGCTCTATTATATTTCACAATTTAATCTCGCGTAGATTTCATAATAATTGTTTTTTTTTTAATTTTGTTTATTTAGCTTCGTGATAATAATTCGATGGTACTTAAATTAGATGAAGATTTACCTCCCAATAGTCGGCCACCTTCAATAAATCATCTTATTCTAGAGCTTGATTCTCAAGGTCTACCAGTATCACAGATCGAACGAACATCCGTCTATGGTCTTGCTCTTGGACCTAATCAAGAAATTCTACTCGGTTGTAAAAAGCATCAACAAAATGGATTAATTGAATGTTATATTTAAATATTTAGTTTTCAATTGTTTAGGTATTCGAATAGTTCTATTTCTTTGAATCATCGTATTCGATGAATCAATCCTTTTTTTTCTTCATCGAAAAACAAATATGAATAGAAATACTTTGGCTGTCCGTAGTGTTGCAAATCTGCAACAACTTTTTACTTATTGTTTTTCATATATACTTTTCTATTATTCTTGACTACACAATGATGTACTGTTTCTCTTTTTTTTTATAACGAATGAGCAAACAAGTGCACGTGAATTTTTTTGTTTACTTCTTTTAATATAAAAGGATCGCATTTTAGATGCAAATACTTACTTCATATCATTCATTATAGAATGTCAAATCCTGAAAATTGCCCAAATTGGTAAGAAGCATTAATTATGTTAATATTAAATTAACTCTTGTTTCTTATCTAGTGATAATATCTACGGCAATGAGCCACGAAAAATTCCATGGTAATATTGAAGTTTCTTTTCCTAATTTCTGATAATCCTTTTGCGTTTGCTTTTCTTATCAAGTGGCCATATTGTCTGTCATAAATGTTGTCTCGACTTGTTTAATAAAGAAAATAATACTCTTATATGTCCTGTATGTGATAGTATGCATACATTTAAATCAAAAAATATATTTAAAAAATCTTTACAACAAGTTGCTCATTCTGGCTTCGGAAAAAAATCAGCAATACGTGAAATGAGTTTTGCATCAACAATGGTAAGCTAAACAGAGAGATCATTTTCTCACACTATTAGTTTAACACTACCTAAATAAATATATACATATATAATTACATATGTATATATGTAGCCAATGGAAAAAGCATCTGGAACAGAAAAAGCAGCTAATAAAGAAGTGAAAAAAGCCGTTGTAAATCTTCCAACAGTTCCACCAGGTGCTCCACCAGAAACGTCGCCATCGCATCTTCCTCCAACACCACCACAAGCAGAGTCTCCTGTTGTTGTTAATAAACCATCGCCGCCGCCACTACTACTACCACAACCACCAACGCCGCCGCCTCTTATGCCAACGAGAGGTACTATTGTAACAGATCATCTATCGAAAATCGTAAAACAACAGCCTATACCGAACAACACACCATTACCATCTTTACTTAGTACAATAGTTACACCACCGCCACCAACACAATCTAACTCGGATGCTGTGATTGCTCGTTGTCATAGTTGTGCAAATAAATGTCAAGTTATTGTAAGTTAAAAGAATGGAAATCATTTTAGATTTTTATCTACTATTAAACTATTCGAGGTTTGTGAACATTGTGATCATTTTGTATGTCTTAAATGTGCTGAAGAACATCGAACAACAATGAAAGTCGATACGCAAGGTTTAAAAAATAAATGGCAAGAATGTAAAAATAAATATAATATTTTACTTCAAAAATTAAGTAAATAATCTTTAGTCATTTTTATAATATTGATTACTGATTAAGAAATTTTCTTTCATTTTTTTCTACTCGATATAAACAGATCAATATAATCGTGATAAAGTTCAAATTGAAAGTGATCTTGCTGCTATACGAGTTGCCGTTGAACAACGTTCACATGATACAATTCAATATATTATTGATCAACGTGAAGCTTTAACGGATCGCATTAATGAACATATTGATAAAGAACAAAAAATTAATAGGTACGCATATATAAATTACTATCATGAATTATTCTTGCGTTTCATTATTTTAGTATTAAACATAATGATCTTGCTCATGAATTTCGTCAAATACAAAATCGACTGGAAAGTGCTCTAAAGTATAATTTCTATAAACTTTATTTTATGCATATATACGCGTATATAATTTTATTTCGTTATTTAGTGGCGAAGATATTGGTTCATATACTCAGGATGATTTCTTACGTGATATTCGCGAACTTCAAAATCGAATGAATAAACGTAATACTTTAATTGAAACACATATTTTACAAGTAAATTTGAAAAAATCCGATGCCATTTTCTCAAGCTCATCTTCTTGTTTGCTTTTAAAGATTCCTACAATTAGTCGATATGAACGAGTACCCATTGAAAAATTACTAGGTGAACTTCATTTTAATTCTCATATGATGAATGGCAATCCTCATCGAACAAAACCATCACTATTCAATAATCCATCCTTTTCACATCAAAATGGTTCATTAGATTGTCCTTCTAAACTTTCAACAGCAAACATTCTTAATCTATCACCAAGAGTTTCATCGCCAATAGTAAATCCTATTCCAACACCACCACCAACACATAATCATATTCCATCAATCAATGATATTAGTAATATTAAACCGTTAATGGCGGATGCATATCCAAATGGTACAACAGATGCATTTGATGAATTTCGTCGTATGGCAGCTCAAATTCATCAACAATTCAATGCACCTTATAGTAAAGTCATCAATGCTGCATCATCAATTCCATCATCAACACTATCCGATGGAAGTGCAAATACCGATGGAGTGGATAAAAGCTATAAAAAATTATTAATGAAAACAAAAACAAAAATTCCTTCGACAAGTTCATTTTGTCAACAATGGAAAATCGAACATACAGCAGGTATTTAAATGATACATAAAATTATACAAAGTGACTCATAAATAGCTGACTGAAAAAAATACTAGATGCTACGATTGTACTTTCAATCGATCACACCGAGTTTTATTTCGTAATCATAGAAAATTGTTACCTAAATACAATACGGAATCAATACTATGAATCACACTAGAGAAGTAAACTTTTACGTAAATTTATCTCAATCGGTAATCTTAGCTTTTCTTCAGTATTGACAGGTTATATTTTTATTCTACAAACTAGTACACAAGACGTCTTTTCCAATACGAATCCTTATATAAAATAATTTTTTTTCGCATTTTCGATGTTACTTCAAAATAGTATGCTTCGTCAGTTCTCGATGATCACGATATAAAAATAGTTTCGATCTTTTCTTATCAGCGATTGATTGATGACTCATTCTATTTATACAAGCTTTCATTCCTTTATATATGTTGTAGGCAAAATTGGAATCTAGGCAAATTCCGAATTTGCCCGGGCAAAATTGGAATTCTGATTCTGCCTAGGCAAAATCAAGATTCTAATTTTGACCGGATTTTTTTCAGGCAGAATTGGAATTCTAATTCTGCCCGGGCAAAATTAGAATCGGGCTAGAGATAAATTCTTAATAAGAAAATAATCAAAATTTAAGTGTTATAACTATATTTTATTCAACAAAATCTTTTTTTCTGAACATTTTACAATTAGAAGCCTAAACGCTTTACTCTATTCATCCATATTTTTACAACAACCTCGTTTTGAATGACATTTTGTCAAACAAAAAACTCCATTTTTTTTACATGGACATTGTTTTGAAACGCATTTGCCTTTATAATCGCAAGTGCGACCACTTGTTGATGCACGATTTTCCCTTAGCTAATAATAAACATTTAACAATATCATCATAAACACATTGTTTTATAACACTTTTCGCTCGAAATCTTTCACTCAAAGAATTATTATGTTTTTCTAATTCTTTATAATAAAGTGATTCCGCACTTTTCACTTCGACAGTTGTTGAATCCGATTGAGACATTTTCTATAAGATTGTGTGAAGCACGTATCTCTATATTTATACTGTTTATCGATACGTCAGGCTTTTATCACGATTTTCTCTTTTTTTCTCATCTACTGTACGTTTACTAAAACATGTGACTATATGAATTTATCTCCAGCTCGATTCTAATTTTGCCTAGGCAGAATTGGAATTCTGATTTTGCCCAAGAAAATGTTAGTCAGAATTAGAATTCTAATTTTGTCTAGTCAAAATTAGAATTCCAATTTTGCCCGGGCAAATTCGGAATTTGCCTAGATTCCAATTTTGCCTACAACATATATTTGTATTTGTTATTCGTTTTTTAAGTGCCTAATTTCTTATGCATGACATCTTCTCCAACACCAAAACTATTTATTCTTGACAAATACGGTAAAGTATCTGTATGTAGTATTCCACCAAATCGAACAAAACCATTTGAAACATTTACATTGTTTCCAAATGGTAACGATGAATTAATTGAATCGGCTGTTGTTTCATCACGTTTTCTCATTGTTTATGCTCGTAAAAAACAAGATACAATGACTGGTAAAATGTATTTTTTTAATCATGAATGTAAATCAGTATTACCAAACGGTATTTATCAAAGCATTCCAGTACATCATATTTTATGTGATCAAAATGCAAATCGTCTCTATTGTCTTGATCGTATGCGTTGTACAATCTATTATCATGCATTACCGAATAGTTCAAATGAAATTGAAGCGTGTATGAAAACACGTCGTGATTTTACACAATTTAATTCAAATTATGCAGCTTTTAAAATGTTACAAAATGATGATATTTTAGGATTTTATGAACGAAATGAGTGTACGGTTCATTTATATGATAAGAAAACAACAGAAAAAATTGAAGAATTCAAATCTGAACACTTTATGGATAGATTTGAAAGTTGGGGTATTATCGGTATGTTGAAATTTACATGAAAAGGAATTTACTGGTGAAAAACAAATATTTTAAACAAAACTTTCTATTTGATTGGCTGCAAATTTTATCATAGATATAGTTGGGAACCAAGAAATTCAAAGATCAAATTAACGAAGCATTCTACTGAGAAATTCACTTTCTGCACATCAGATAGCTAAAATTATTTTGAACTTAAAATTAAGCAGATCACGATCGTTATGAGGCAAGAGAATATTGTCCAATTCTATATTGGTAAAACAATGCCATGAGGGCGAAAGCATTAAATGAAATAGTATTTCATTTTTTATTTCCCATTACTTTAGTGGACTGTTTGTTAAATAATCGGCAGTTAATTTTAATCTCTTTTTTTTTCAAAATAAACTTAATCTTTTCTAAGGGTGTGAGTGATCAGGATTATAAAGCATACTTGGAAGGTCATTTTTAGTGAGGACTAGAGAATTTTTTTCAGTTACGATACATAAAAAACTTTTACTTGTAGATTCCTATTTGAAATCGTGTGCTAAATCTAAGCGTTTAATAAATAACGAAATAGAATATAATATTTAAGATGATATTTTTATTTTATTGTAGCTATTCGAAAAGATAATAATAGCCTCATATTCAAAGTCGATGAACGTATTGATCACGATGCTTCAAATCGTCAACATATTGTTTATGAAGTAAACCGTTTCTCAAAACAAGTCATAAGTCAAATTCAGCTTAGTTCAGTATTTGGTATGATAATTGGACCAAATAATGAAGTTATATTGGGTATTCGTCAAACAAAAGACAATGGTGTTATTCAATGTTATTTAAGAAAATAATCCATACTATCAATCGAGAACAACAAAACAAAACACTCGGAACAATGTGATTCTTTTGTCTATGTTAAACAAAAAAACAAGGAGAAAACTATACATCATCTTTTATATGTAAATTATTTTTCCTAACAAAAAAAAGATGATAAATTACTGTGATTATTAGTGAGAATGCAAGTTTGTTATGCTCATGTTAAAGATGTCCCTTACAGTTTTCTCGTTTCTTTTTTGCTTGTTCATGATTATGTCTCTAGTCAAGACGAAACATGACTTTTCTTTTTCTTTTTTCACTCGCGTTCAAAGATATCTTGTGCATAAACCTTATTCGTTCTTTCATTTTGTTTTGGTTCATTTTGCCACTTTGTTTAGTTATTCGTTGTGATACTAGTGAAAGATGAAAACAAACTACAAACAAGAGTTTACTTTTTAGAAGAAAACGAACTATTATAGTTTAATTGTCGTTTATGCTTTTCTTTTTCATTTTTTTCTTTTCTACTGGTTATTAATAAACGTGAGGATCATACATTTTTATATGATATATTTTACTTGGGACTTTTCAACATTGACTTAAAGTTTGTCTTCTAGAATTCAATGAAATATGTCAATATCACGCAATATTCTTTTATGTACATTTTGTCAATCATTATTCAGCGTAAGAATGATTTTATTTGGCGAACTATATTCGTAAAACTTCTTTGTGTTTTGATAAAAGGATGCAAGACAATTACGATGCGGTCATTCATTTTGCTATAGATGTATTGTATCTCAATTTGATAAAACATCGAATAAAATTGTTTGTTCACGATGCAAGTAAGTTCTTGAACGTTATATAACTCTTACGGTATTCTTTGTATGCAAACGATAAAAACCAAAGCATTGTCTGCATTTATTTATTGAATGAAGATTGTTTGAATTAAACACAGTTAAAATGCAAAAATGGCCGACTTATCGACAGACACAAGCTGCTTAGCATTAGCAATTCCAGAAAAGATATTTTTATTTTCTGAAATAAAAATCGATGAGATGCGCCTGCTCCAGATCCCAACGAATGTCATATATACACGAAGCTAACAGAATCTATCTTTATTGCTTAATAAAAGAAAGAATAATGTCCAATGAAAAACGGTTGATCCTTGACTGGTACATGTTGAGTCTATGCATACAACCAATTAGGGTAGATCAAAAATAAAAAGATGTACTATTTTTTGTAGAGTATTGCAAGAACACTTTAGTTAAATCGCTGTTGTTTTCTTCTTTCAGGCGTATTCATCATTATGAATCTTTTTCACATTTTGAAATGAGTTTAATTGTTGATGCATTCGTTATGTCATTGGTCACAGAACATCGACGTAAAACTACTATTCAATCAACACCATTATTAGCATTTACGCTCGGACAAATCCTTGAACGAAGTCCAACACCATTTCTTATTGCAAAATGTGCTGAATGTTCACTACGAAAAGAACTAGGTATTTGTTGAGAGAAAAAGAAAAACTTCGTAACATAACATTCTGAAAACAAAACTATTTCATCTTTTTTTTCCTTTCTTTTAAGTTGTTTGTCCCGAATGTGAACAAGTTATTTGTTTTGAGTGTATTTCGCAACATCAATTAATTGTAAATAATAATGTTCAAGAGAATTGGTTGAAATGTCAAGACACATGGCACTTGATTTGTGAAAAGTCGAGTAAATAATTTTCTTTGATTTAAAAATTTTTATCGTTTTTTTCTTTCTAAAGTGTTATTTGATGAACAACAATTTGATCTTAAATCTTACACGCATGCATTGCAATCTCGTATTGAAGAACGTTCGCATTTTCTTTTGCAAACGGTAACTAAATGGCAAAAGATCTATGAAAATAAAATCGATCAACAGTCGGAGATCCATAATAATATTTGCCAAGAAATAACAGCACACTATCAATCAATTGATCAACATATTCAAATATTTCTTAAGTTTGTTTTAAAATGAAAATAAATACGACAAAATTCTTTCAATTACATCTTTGTTTATTTAGCTCGAAAGATCCTGATCCTATTAAAGCTGAACATTTTTATCAAGAAATTACCGAGTTTAAAAGTAAATTGCGTCAAAAATTAAAAGAATTAAATGAATATTCGAATAAATTTCCAACTTATTCATTATCAAATTTTGACTACTCACTACTCGGTACAATATCTATGGAAACTACTCATGAACATCTTAAACTCTCCATTGATGATGATAATTCGGAAGTTAATATTGCAGATGAACCTGAAATCGATGATGATCAAAGCACAGATTCAGATGAAAGTCAACAAACGATACAGGAAACGAGTAATACTCAAGAAATAATCGAATCCGATACAACATCACAATCAAAGACATTAGAAAGTATTCCAAACAAAAAACTTCTTTGGTCTTTGCATTTTAAATTTGTACCACAATATATTTCACTTTATCGACAATCAATTTTATTTGCATCCGATCGTTGGGGATTCGTGAGGTACTGTTTTTTCTGTGATCTTACGAAATCGATCTTCTTATAATTTTTAGTACATGGACCTATACCAATGCACGTACGAAGCCTACGCCCAAAAAGTCATTTGTTCTTTTTCCTCAATTTCGAATAGGAGCTTGGTCTCGTGTCTATGTGGAATCATTCAGTGTTTGTAAGTTTTTTCATCGATTTATTATTTCCTTTCGTTCTAATCATATTTGGTTTCACATTTATTTTTTTTCCGGAAAACATAGTAGCCAAGGATTTACTCACTTGTCTTAGATAGAAAGCTTCTAAAAATTCTAATCTGTAGTATAAATCTATCAGATTAGCTGTTACCTGAATTATGACGTATCTAATTGAAAATTTTTAAATTAATTCCAGAAAAGAAATTCTTTAACCATGTATTGGGGCGATAATCAGTCTCTATGACGAAAGATTAAGAAGTTTTCAAAATTTCTACATATACTTTTCTTTGATGTTACTGGCCTATTCAAAACGATTTATGTTGTTGTTGTTTAATTTAGATAAGTCATATATATGTGTTTTTGTCAAAGGATCCGATGAATCACTGGGAAATTTCATTGCATTCTTTACTCACACTGGACAATTACAAATGAAAGTTGAATATGATCATCGATATACACTTCGTCAATTGATTTGTGATGAAAGTTCAAAAGGCAATTGCATATGTATGCATTTAAAATAGCTACCTCTTCAATTCGTCTTATTCTATTTTGAAGGGGCTGTCGATCGAGGCATGCATTGCATCTATAAACATGATTTACCACGAATTAATAAAGAAATTAAATCATCTCTATCAACACATAAAATCGCTGCACATTTAAATGATCGAAGTTGCGATGTTATTCGTATGGCTGTTAATCAAAATATTCTCGCTTTACTCGGTATGTTTTATAAAAAAACAAAACTTATTCATATAGTCTTTGATGTTACATGAATAATTCGTATTGTGTAATTTTGTTTTATTCTGCTTCTTAAGATTCTCGAACACAAATAGTAACACTTTATGATAAAACTACTGAGAAAGAAATAGGCATTTATTCAGCAGAATATTTACCCACCGGTGAAAATAAATTATGGCGTGTAGAAATATTTCCTGATAACAGTCTTCTCTTACGTTTCGATGATAATGAACGTACCGGTGATCGTTCACAAGTTATTCATCATATTGTTGTACATGTTAAAAAGAATGAAGCAAGCAAAAAATATGAAGCAAAATCACAAATACGAGCAACAAATGTTTATGGTTTTGCAATTGGCTCTGAATCAGAAGTTATTGCTGGTTTAAGAAAGCCAAATTGTTTCGAAGGTCTCATTAATTGTTATGTTTGATCGAAAGTTCGAAGTCATTTTATGTCTGATATTCGCGTATTATATTATCTTTCTTTTTCTTCTTTTTTTGTTTTATTATTTGTTTATATTTCATGTAAATCAGATATTTAATTAAAAATAGTCATGTTCCTATTACAGTTAACCTTTTTGTCAGATTCAAGTTGGAACATATTGTAAATAAAAGAACTTCATAGAACTTTGTTTTCTTTTCAGATCTTATGTAATTATAAACAATGTTATCATAAATTATAAAGAGGAACGAGGAAGATTTATCAAACGATGATTAATGCTAAACTTGTTACATGTGGATTGTGCCAAAGTTATTATTCTGATCCTCGGCAGGTAAATATTCTTGTTGTTTTACTTTACGAGTCTATTATTCGACGAACGCTAGAGTAATGCTGATTCGTAAATTGAGTTTTGAGTGTTTTCTCGCATTCCCAGACATGATTAGCGGAGATCGTATAGATTAACATAGAAACCGATGATAACAAGTGCTAAAACAATCTACGATTTTAAATGTTGTACAGTTATAATGCTAAGAAATTAATGAGCCATGTAAGTGAGACATGTAATCGGCTTATTTACCCGATAAATAAATTATTTATATTCAATGAAGATATATCAAAGCATAGATATTTACGAACCATTTGCTGTTTGCCATCTGTTTTTCTCGCTTACCCTACCTTCTAATAGTATGATGAAATAAAAGACTTCAAATAAACTTCATATTTTAGTTTCGAAGTTGTCTCGTTGATATTTTGTTTTTCTAAATACTTTTTTAAATTAAAATTGTTTTTCTTTAGATCCCTTGTTCACATTCATTCTGCTTTGATTGCATATCGGGACGTTTCGATGAGGAGTCATTACAGTTATCATGTCCACAATGTAAAAAACTTCATCAATATAAATCACTAGAAGAATTTCATAATCGATGTATGCGAGATGGATTTCTTGCAACAATGGTAACACAATTCAAAAGAACTCAAAGTCGTATGTCACTAACGCCATCCGTATTATCATCACGACCACCATCAACATTTTCACACATGTCACCATTTACTTCATCGACACCAATACCTCGTACACGAACACAAGAAATAGATTTAAATAATCATGCTCAATCAAGTTCCGAAAGTTCGACACCATTAGTTCTTAATCAACAAAGATCATCATCGATTTCACAACAACCAATAACACATTCATTTATTGCTAAGTGCCAATCGTGTAACATCCGAGGAGACCTAATTGTATGTAATCATTGTGACAATGTTATTTGTATTAAATGTGCTGACGAACATCAGAGTGTTATTAATAGTGACGTTAAAAGAGAATGGGATCTATGCAAAGCACAATTTCAAACAGTTAGTGACAAATCAGGTATTGCTCTTAAAATGCATTATTTCATTAATTTTCTTTTTTAATTATTTTTATTTTAGTACGTTTCAGTCAGAGCGAAGAGGAAGCTACTAATAAAGCACGTAGTCTACAAACATTTATTAGTAAGAAAAGTGACAAATTAATACAAACAGTGGAAAATCAAAAGAATGCATATATTGATACTATTAAAAAATATTTATGGGCTTATAAACAATCGTAAGTTATTTTATCAATGAGATTTTCCTATTTTTAAGAAATCACTATAGAACTTTTACTAATTAATAATCATTTTATCTTATTTTATACCTGTGTAAAAACAAAAGTCTATTGTCGGTTATTCTATTTAGTTTTGCTCATGAACAAGTCGTTGACGAATATGAATCCATTGATAAACGCGTTGAAGATTTATTAAAGTATAATATTAGTATTCCAACATTTTCTGTCTTCGTGAAAAATTCTTTTATTTTCCTCTTTTTTAGTAAATCTACAGATGTCACCTCCGATAAAGTTGATGACTTTTTATTTGAAATTGAACATCTTGAAAGTCGATTAGATAATTTAAATAAAACTCTTGATTCAAATCAATTAAAAGTATGTAAATATCGATTTTGCATGAAAACACAAAAGAAACCAATTCGATTTATTTAGTTTCCATTACTTACATTACCTGAACAAATTAATACATCATCACTGTTTGGTACACTCGAATTTATTCCATTGAATAGTAATGTATCAACTACATTTGATCCATGTTCATTACCAATGACCAATGGTTATAATCATTCACAAGCTAAACCTGAAGAGCAAGACTATGCTTGTGTTGATTCGTCGAGTAAACATTTTCCGAAAAGTTTTCTATCAAGTGCAATTGAACAAATTTCATCATTATCTTCGAATTTTCATATACCGAAAAAAAAACTTTTATGGCAAATCGATTATTTTTCTGTTCCATACTATGTTCGAACATATGGAAATCAATTATTTATTTGTGATAAATACGGTTCGTTATGAGAATTAGAAAATTATACTTGTACCCTTCGAATTTTTGCGATTGTAAAATACCATGAGAATTTGAAAGGCAGCACATCCGACTTGTGAAAAGAATCTCTTTAAGGAACAGAGTATGCACCCTATTGCTTCATTATAAATCTAACTACTGAAGAAAGAAGGTACATATATAATGTTCAAAAATTTGCTAATCGCGATGCAGAAAAATAGAACACATTATTTCAGTTGACTCTTTCTTATATGTCTCAGATATTATTTATGGCAGTAAGACTTCTGATCTGAAACTATAGATTGTTTTTTAGATTTTCACTATCTCTTCGTGCTGTTAATATTCGATTATTTGTCTTTCCTAATCAAATAACTAGTTTCAAACGCATTTTTTATATGATGATTCTAAACGGATTTCTTATAATCCGAATTCAGAAATACTAGAAAAGCAAAATACTGTTTTTTTTTCAAGCACTAACTAATATAGAAGATACCTCATTTATATTACCGTTAACAATTTAAACGTAGAGATCTTTTCCTTGTAGGTTCATTAGCAATATATAAATTAAATAAATCTAATGATATACGTCAAAAACCGAGTTTAGTTCGCGAAATAAAATTATTTAAAGATTATCCAATATTACCAGCAACTGATGAAGATCAAACAATAATCGATTCGTTTGTTGTTTATAAACTATGGATTATTGTATTTAAACGGAAAAAGAATGAACTACATGGTACTATCTATTTATTTACACACGACGGTAAATTAATACAGAATGGTAAATGTATACATAATCATCCATCACGTGAATTAACAATTGATACTGAAAGAAATATACTTTGGTCATTGGATCAAAAGCAACTTTGCCTTTTTTACTACGATCTACCGGATACACAACAAAATAATCCTGAAGAATATTTTCACAGTCGTTGTTCACATGTACAATTTTCTAAACCATTTGCGCCCATACATATATCGGTTAATAAAAATGTTTTAGCTGTATTAGATAAAAATCGACAAGCTGTACATGTTTATGATAAACGAACTCGAGATGAGCTATACGAACATGTTAATATCTATGGCAATTCAACACATTTTTGTTGGGATATGGCATTATTTTCCGATAATAGCTTACTTATTAAGCTCGACGAAATGAGTTCATTAAAATCTGGACCATCAAAACATATTTATTTACAACTTGACATAACAAAAAAGAATAATATTATAGGAATAATTGAAGAAACTGATGCGTATGGGATGATGATCACTTCGACTGATGAAATTCTTATTGGTGTTAGAATAAATACAAAAGGCATCATCAAATGTTATACTTAAAACAATTACTATTATTTTATTGAGGATCTTTGTTGTTCTTTGTTTGTTTGCTTTATCTGTTGCATTGACTTTCTGATTTTATAATAAAAATGATATGTAGATGTATTCGAGAAAAAAAATGTATGACTAATATAAGATAAATCTGTGTTTGACATAAGATATCTATAAGAACTTTGATTTATTCTAGAATATAATGGCATGTTATCTTCCTGATCATCTTGTTCGATGTTTAATATGTAAAGATTTGTTTTCTGATGCACGTCGTCTTCGTTGTGGTTGTGTTTATTGTTATTCATGTTGTTTACAGCTTATTGAAAATTATACATTGTATTGTCGCTGTTCATCTATACATCGATTTAATTCGCAAGAGGAAATTGAAAAGGTGAGTTCGTTCAATTATTTTTCTACGAAAATCAAATTTCTTTAATTGGATTCTACGTCAGAGAAGAATTTTCATTCAATCAAATTTTGCACAGAGTTCACTGAATATTACATAAATAACAAATTTCATTTGGAAAGGTTGACAGGTATATATTTATAGTTTTATATCATGGGAATGTCGAATTCTGCAAAAAACAACAAAATTAGACAAATAGAAAATTTTAAAATTGATTTATAATATGATCAAATTGATTCGACTAAGCCTAAACTTATGAGAGCATATCTTTCAGTGCATTACAGAATTTTCAAGGATGACTTTCAACGTAGAATTGCTCATTGTTGCCGTGGCGTCCTGACAACAAATATAGAGGATGTTCTGAAGTTCGCCAGAATCTTTTACGTAAACATGGAGTACACAATTCAGATGATTTCATATTTTGACAGGTTTAATTTTCTAAATAATGAATAACTATCTCAAATGTGGTTACTCTATAAATTATTAACATTAACTGTTCGAGTGAATTTCGTCGATGATCTTGTGAACTAATGATGAAGCTAAGAGTCAATTCAGTTTCATACTAAATTTGTATTCTAGTTTAAAAGTATTCCACGCCGTAAATTATATCATTACAAATACTAATTTTCTATATCTCTTTCATATAGTCTTTAGTTATTGATAATGTTGTCAACGATCTTGTTCGCCAACATATCAAGCAAAAACAAAACGCAACAAAGAAAATCGTTGACTATGATTCAATCTCAATATCTTCACAACGAACTGAACAAGATACAAACCCAAACGATCAACATACATCTATATCGGTATTATCCCCTAGTCTTCCTTCAACTTCACGTAAACAAGTTGCCGTTGCTCAACCACCCTGTACAATATGTAGGAAAAAATCGAATATGATTATTCTTTGTGAACATTGTAAATCTGATATATGTGAATTCTGTATGGAGAAACATTATCAAATTATAAGTGATATGCTTAGTGATAAATGGATACAATGTAAAGAAAAATTCAATCAAATCAACAGTCATGTTGGTACGTATCGACTTCTACAAATAATTATCTGTGTGACAATGATTTGATTTTTCTATGTTCAGCTGTATCACATAAAAATAAAACGATTGCGGTATCAAAACTTGATGCTATAAGAAAAACTATTGAAGAAAGAAGTAAAAATCTAAAACATATCATTGATAGTCATCGACAAACATTATCAAATCATATTGATAATCATATTCAAAATATGGAACAAATGTAATTGTTACCAAAAACAAATAAGAAATAATTTTTATTTGTATATCTAGAATAAAGGCAAATGATGTTTTTAATGAATACAAATCGGTGAAAGACCGCCTTCCGAAAATTCTTCAGTAAAAACATTTTTTTTATTTCAAAAACAAAAATTGACATAAAAAAATATTTTACTTCAGAGAAGAAACAAACACATCAAATCTAGTCTCGTTTCTCGAAGAAACCGACGCACTTTTACAACAATTAATCGAACGTAATAAAAAGCTAAAAGAACTTGAAACAAAAGTTAGTGAATGCAATACTTAAACGTATCTTTATTTTTTGTTTTATTCTTAAGATACCTTATCTATCTCAACCAGATTCAATATCTATTAATCTTAGTCAGTTAATTGGTGAACTTAAACTCGATGACTCATCATCTCGAGAAGGATTATCGTCGTCGACAACAGCATTAGGAGTCGATAATAATCATAATGTGTATTCCAATTATAATAGTGTACCATCGTTAATGTCGGCAACACCTGAACAAACACGTTTTCCTCGTCGCATGCGATCAAGTCTTCGATCAAGAGGTGGCCGTGGCGGCAATCAACACTTATCACATTTAAGCGAATTTTATATTCAAAATAAATCTAATCCACGCAATAGCCGGTAGGAATTCGGATGTTCTCAAAATATTTATATCAAAGCTAAATATGTGTAAAAACAAAACATAATAAACAGAAAATAGGCATAAAATTTTTATTCTAATTTTATGCCTTAACATTTCAAGCATTTATTTCTCTTTTTTTGCTCGTAAATAATTTTAAAACAAAATCTTCTTTAGATTCAACGGTAGTTATCGTTCTCGTGGTCGTGGTCGTGGTCGTGCCTACTCACGTTCTCATCCTCCACCATTGCGATCCACTGAAAACGATTTTAACATAGTTCCTAATAATCAATATCGTTGGTCACTTGATTTCAAAGAAATTCCCTATTTTCTTGCCGTACTCGATAAACGAAATCGAGCTCGTCTGCCTGATGCTCGTTCTCATCATAAACATTCTTACATGTTATTCATTGCTGATGATTATGGTCGCATCGGTGTCTATAGTCTACCGCAATCGACTAACTATGTACAACAACCATCGATTATTGGCACTGGTGAATTGTTTCCGAAGAACTCGCGTTTACTTATGGAATCATTTACTGTTTATGAATTCGCTATTGTTGTTTATGTACGTCGTTTTGAACAACGATCAAATGAAATAGAACATTCGAAATTAATCAAAGCTGGTTTACCAATAATGAAAGGCGAACAAGTATGTTTTTCGTCGATAAAAAACTTTTCCTGCTTGTATAACTACAAATATTTTATTTAGGGTCGCTATAATGATCATGGTGGTATGATTTATTTATTTTCACATGGTGGCGATGAAATCGATGGTGTTTATCAATCACACCCCATACGAACGATTCTTGCTGATCCAAGTGTTGGTCGTCTTTGGGCACTTAATCCGATGCAAAATAATGTTTATTGTTATATGACACCCAATCATAAAGATGAAATTCATAAATGTTTTCAGGACGAAGAAGTCGTGCTAGATTTTTTTGAAGAAGACTTCGAACCAACATCTATGATACAATCAAATGAATCCATTGGTCTTATTGATTCAGAACATGATTCATATCGTTTATATGCAAAAGATGATCAATTTCGTTTAATAACAACTTATCAAAATGTGCATAATCAACAATGGAAATTAACTAATGGGGTGATTTTTAAAGATAATCGAACTTTACTTAGACTTACAGAAGATAAAGCTTATGATGTTGATGACTCAAATGGTAGAACCAATCGAAATACATTTCATAATAGTCCACGACGTTGTCTTATTGAATTAACTCCTGATGGACAGGAAAAACGTCAAATTCAAGCTGATACACTTTACAGTATGGTACTCGGTAAGAATTTCGTTTTTGTATTTATAAAAAATAAAATATTCAGTCTTATATTTGCTTTTATTTAAATAGGAGCGAATGATGAGCTTATTTTGGGCTTTGCTGTACGAGGTGATCATGGTGTAATTCATTGCTATTAATTTTTTCCATTTGACTTTAAAGAATTCAGCAATTATTCTTTGTCTTTCTACGTAGGAAGACCACTTGATCGTCTTTTTTTCTAAAAATACTTTGTCAGATAGTTTCATGCTATGAGAATTAAGCATTTGTTTAATTCTGCTTTGAGTTTTATTGCCAATAGTATAGACTTAATTCGTGCACAGATTTTCTCATGAGAAAATATCTTTCTCCACGTTTGTATTGTTATTGTATACGGTTATTTTTGTTTTTTGTATTCATTTTCAACCAAAAATATGAACATATATGTAGTGTAATAAACTGGTTGTTAATATTGTTTTTTTTCTCGTTTTCAGTACATTTATATTGTTTTTTCCTGTAATACAAAATCATCGTCATTTTTGTTTGTTCTTGTGATTTTGTATTAAATTAATAGAAAAAGAACAGCAACAACAACAGTTATGAAGGAAAATAGATGAAATAAAAAACAATTTTCATAGCTTCATTTATTTTTAAAGAGAATATTTGCGAGAGAATCAATATGATGCAAGATCATTCTTCCCTACGAAAATATTTTATTACAGAATATAATTGTTTTTTAATACTAACAACACATCAATTGTCAAACACGAAAGATTACAAATTTTGTGAAATCATTCGTTTAGTCCTATGTAAACATCTATCAATAGCTAGTAGAATCAGTCGATATTATCTTTCTAATCGGACCGAATGAAATCACATTCTTCATAAAATTATTCTACTCGTGTCTAGATAAAAGTATTTCAAAGTTTATAGGAATTGTGTAGTATTATTAAAAAAGAAGAAGTTTAATCAATCTTATTGTAGATGATCAATCAAGAAAATCTATGTCCGATTTGCTTAAAATTATTCAATGATCCAAGACGAATGCCATGTAAACATATATATTGTTTTAAATGTATACCACGATTACATCGTCGTGCTCTTGATACTAAAGATCAGATCGTACTTGAATGCCGCATTTGTATCATGCAATATGCTTTTAAAAATTGGTCAACATTGAAACATTATGCTACATTAAATTGCGTACCATACGTCGCTGCTTTACAATTTGATAATGCATCGACATCAGCAACGAAATCTTCTTGTTCGATCTGTTTCAAAGTGATCAACACAGATCCAAATGTGGACCACCTTGAATTGTGTATTCATTGCAATAAAAAGATATGTTGGGAATGTCTTATTGATCATCGAATGGCGTTGAAGAAAAATATTCTTCAAAATATCAATCAGTACCATTTGTTTCTGAGAAACAATCAACATATTGTTCAGCAGACAAAAACTAAACTTGAAAATATGACAATACATATGGATTTTTGTGCTGTTGAATTAATTGATCAGGTTGGTCATATTTTAATCTATGCAAATTGTTTTTGACTAAGTGTATCATAGATTGACACATACTGTGAGTCAATATTTACTCGAATAGATGAGCAAAAGTAACTCCTAGTTGATGTCAATTACATTTTAATCGTTCAAATATATCATAGATTTCAGGAAGAAACAAATTCAAGTTCAGGTTATGAATCAATAGCAGAACAACGATCTTCTGAGTAAGTATCAATATCCAATTTTAAAAATATTATATGTTATAAAACCTCTAAAAACTATTGATTTAGTTTGGATGAAAGCATGAATGAACAATCAGCTTTACAAAATGATATTACATTAACGGAACCATCGGCAATGCCTATTCATCTACTCGGAGAGCTCATTTCATCGGACTCAACTCTATTAACTTTACCAACTGCACGCCTTCTCTGGTCAATAACCTGTTCTGTACGTCCACAACATATTGTGTTTGAATGTGAATCTTTGAAATTATTTACTTCTAATGAATACGGTTATATATCTGTTTATAGTTATACTAAATTAAATATTTGTCTCATCGATACATTTCACTTGGAATATAATGAAAAATCACAACCGATAATGATCAAATCAATTGCAGCGTCGACGTTTTCTCTCGTTGTGTCATTCTATTCGTCGATGGAATCAATTCTTCATTTTTATTCACATAAAGGCCATCTTCTACATTCTATATCATCATCAAATGAATACATTAGTCAAATGCGTTTCGATCATAACAATTTATGGTGTCTCGAATTAATATCATCAACACTTTTCTATTATTCACTTGAATCAAATAATATTATTGATAAAAATCTACCTGAACAAACACAATTTATTTTATTTAAACAAAAATCTTTTGATCCATTTCGATTTGCTATTAATGAATTAGTTGTTGCTATTATGGATCGAGCATTAACTGGAATAATTCTGCTATTCAATAAACAAACTGCTTCTTATTTAAAACAAATTAAATGTCCATTAATTGGTTTTCAACCATGTGAGATCGAACTGACGAATCAACTATTAATCTATCGTTTTCCTCATACTATATTATTAACACAATTAGACAATGAACAATTTATAGAAGAAATCAATGCAAATAAAAATCTAAACATAACTAAATGTAAATCGCATAAAGAAATTCTACTAGTCAGTATGCCAACATACGATAGCAACACATTTATCATTCAATGCTATGCCAGATAATACTATTATATTTAGTCTAGTCACGATTTTTAATTGTTTTTAACCAGCATCTTGTCTTTTTTTTATAACTTATAAACCTTTTATTTTGCTTTTAGATCAAAATAAGACACAAAATGCCAATATTTACTCGTGATTTCGTTTCATGTCATGTTAATTCATTCGAATCACATCTATACAAAGATCCAGTCATGCTTATTTGTAGTCATGTTTTTTGTCGTTCCTGCTGTCTAGAATTAGCTAAAATGAGTAATGATCAATCAAGTAGGTTTTTATTTATTTCTATTTTCAACAATACATAATCTTATTTTTAGTTACATGCCCAACTTGTTCAACTCGAATTCCGTTTGATAATATAGATCGATTTGCTAATAATCTCATATCACATGGTACATTAGCAACCATGGTTCAACAATATTTACGAGATGAAAATAATCATCGTATTTGTTCTTCATGTCAGCATAGCTACCGAAATGATAGTTTTGGTAATCTGTGTAAAACATGTAAAATAGATAATGAAAATGTGAAAACGAAAATAATGCAGAAAATAGCTGAATGTGACGATTTATTAGAAAATTCAATAGGTATATCGTTGGAAAGCATTCATGAACAGGCAAATCAATTATATGAAATAATTGATCAACAAACAACATCGTTTTTTCAACAAATCGATCAATATCAAGAAGAACTTGAAAATCTATTAACAACACAACAAAAAACAAATGATATGAATGCGTAAAGCTATACAGATATTCTCTGTTTTGTTTTTTCGATAAGAAAAATATATTCAAATTGTAGATTGAAACATCAACCTATTGATATTGATGCAGTAACAAGATTAGTTGAACCGAAATTGAATGCTTTGAGGTACATTTCTTTTTTTTTTTTTTGATATAAAAATGTTGATTAATCTAAGTTATATATTGCGTTTTAGAAGTTGCAACAATTTTCTTGAAAATATCAACGTTGAAAAAGAAATCAAACGTTTAAATGATGTAGCTGATCGACAATTACGATTATTCAAACATAGAGCAGATATAGTAAGTTTTTTGAATTTTTTTGAAGTAAGCTTCTCCATAAAGATCCTTGAGTATTAAAATGAGACGCTTATATGCTTCTTCTAGGTGCATAATACTAAAACTAAAATACACAAAGCAAAAAATCCCTTGGAGACTACAGTTATTTTCTAAGAACCATTGATCAACTGAGAACGCCTTAAGTGAACGTCCAATAAAATATCGAGAATCCCCGCATCATACAACTTATATTTCTATGAACTGCGAGCAATCAACAAAAGATAAGTTAAAATTGCAATATGAGTTTCATGAGGGAAAAAATGAGAACATTTTCATTTATATAAATTTTTCTATATAGCAATAGCTCTCAAGAAAACATCATCATATTTTAGGTACCCATACTTAGTGCTCCAACAGAAAATCCATCCGACAATATTTTTGGTGAATTTATTTCCAAATCGACTGAATCTGAGTCACAAGCTTCAAGTTTATCATCTAATCAATCAATGATTAATACTCATGGTGATACTTCACTTCAATCGATTCCACCAAAATTACCCATGTGGACAGTAGTAATTAAAGCACTTCCAACTCATCTATGTGTTTATCCACTTGGTAAATCAACAATAATATTCAGTTGTAGTACAACTGGTAGTATATCACTTCTGAGCTATATTTCTCCAGTTACATATGATTCTCCACGTTACATTCGATCCTTTAATCTTTTCCCGCGTCATATTCATTATGTTGTTCAATCATTTACGGTATTTAATCGTTTTATGCTTGCACATGTTCATCGAAAATATGATAATGGCGCGCTTTTTTTCTTTACACACGACGGAATGCTTGAATATGGACCTATTGAATTATCAAATCCCATACGTCAATATATGGCCGATGAAAATCGTCTATGGGCAATTGATTCTATAACACAAACGGTATTTTTTCATGAACAACCATTATTTAGAGATGATATTTCATCAATACTTTCTAAACGTGATATATTTATTACGTTCGATGATCAATCGAATTTTGTTCCAATTCGTATGGCATTAAATCAGCAACTACTAGCTGTACTTGGTAAAGATTTACAACAAGTTTTTATTTATAATAAAATATCTCGTGAACGAATATTTACCAGCCATTTCAGTGCTGGTATCAATATGAATATATGGGATATAGGTTTATTTCCACGTGATAATAGTTTATTACTTAAATTTGATTGGCAATTCGATGGAAATGTAAAACGATCTTTATTCATACATTTTAATACAAAAAATCAATCTGTTGGACGAATCGAAGGAAAATATTGTTTAGGTTCAGTTATTGGGCCTAATAAAGAAATAATTCTAGGTCTAAATCATAGAACTGGTATTATTAGATGCTATACGTGAATTAATTTTTTTAGAAAAAAAAACGTTTTTTTTGAGTGTTTTTCTTTTTTGAAGAATTTATTTTTGTTTATACATTTATATTGAAATAAAATTAGATATGATAATTAGAATCACGTGCTTGGATTGGTGATAGAATTTCGAATTTCGACAAAGACTTTGTCCCAGTCCCAAAGTTTTTGTTCCTATAGTAAATATATTGTACATGTTGAGATAGAAAGAGGAAATAAAATTTACTTCAGCATCGAGTTCTTCTTGTAAATGCAGATTATTATATAATATGCCAATATCAATTTTGCTATCCTAATTAGACGAAAAATTGATATATTTGAACTATTTATCAGTCGGCTAATAGTTACGATGTATTGACTTGCACGTTCACGACAAAAATCATTTTCAATTTCTTTGAATGATGCAATTTGATGAATAGAAAATCTATGAAAAGAAATTTATTTTTCAAGATAGAACTATTAACGTATGTTTGTTTACTCAGGAGCAACAGCTACTTCTGGAGCCATATTAATCGTATCATCACCATCAGCATCATCCATAGGAATCGTAGGAATGTCTATTTAAAGTAATAGACAGATAGATGATTTGTTAGTATCATTTTATAACTTACCTGCAGCAATAATTTCTTCTGCTGCTCGACGATTACTTTGTCGAACCATAGTCGATTGGCTAGGAGGCATAGTTGAAATGTCTCTATATTTTAATCAAAAAAAAACAAATTCAAGTTTTATTCTAAATTGAAGGCAACAAATTTAGAGACAAAGCATGTTTCACTATTTTATTTCATTTCGATAACAGTTGTAACCTTCGAAAAAACAATTTTCTATAATGAAAAGCACTTGAACAACTTTAGTTAAAAACGTTTTATGAAAGGTCTGTGGAAAATTATATTTGGAAGATGTTTCATTTGAGTTTTTTGACGAAAATTTAACATATCTACCTACTAATAGAGCTAATCGAATCTTCTTTACTGTTTGCTTTTGTTTCGAGCTTTTATTGTTAAAAGAATTCAAAAATGCTTTGTTTCTAAACTTTTAGTCTTCACTCTATGCATTGAATAACATACAAACTGCCATGGTCATCATTAATTTCATTCGACCAACCACCTGCTGATTCAGCAATAGCTCGTCGACTCGGTTTCGATTTAGGATTAGCAGACTACAAAAGACAAGAAAATAGCAATGTTATTTTGTTTTTGTACGTATACAAAAAACAGCAGATTAACAGCTAAGCATATGTAAATCTATGTTATTCTATTAGCTTCCTCCTCCCCACCCCTCCCTAAATCATTATGATATTCGTACTCACAAACGATTACGAACAATCTAATGTGACTTCGTAGATGCATATTCTACAAAATTGCAACTAAAATTAGTACTAATTTTATCGATATGTTATATTAAAAAGTGATTATTATATTATGAAAGCGACTGTGTCACCTTTTCAGCGCTTTCGAGCATGTTATCAAATGTATCATCGACCGGATCATCAACTGGACGAGCTGCTTTTTTTGATTTCTTTTTGGACTAGTTTTTGAGATTAGATGAATGATACACAAAAGAAAACAAAGATATTTTAACTAAAAAACTTACATTGGTTGGTGGTGGCGGTGGTGGTTGTAGTTCATTATCAAGCCAATCGTCACTTGACATTTTTATCTAGTAGAAGAAATTAATATTTATAATAGAACTGAGGAAAAACATTTGGACACTATAAATCAAATATTGCTTTAATGCTATCCCAAAAAATCTACACTTAAATAGATGCATAAAAAACTGAAAATCGTATAATCTGACAATTGTTTTTTCATTAATTTTCTATCAGTTGGAGTTCAGCATAGACATAAATTCATCAAAATTAACTAAAAAAGAAAATAATCGAATACTGAAAAGAAAAAAACAAATCTCCTACTTTCACCATCACCATCTAAATCAAATTCATCGATCATTGCTTGTAGTTCTTCTTCGTTAGTATTATCACCTAATTCTCTATAAATAATGAATAAGTTTATTACGATCGATCTCTTCTATTGTATCCTTTTACTGTGCAACACGTCGTAGCTTTTTCAATGAAATTTTGCCACTTTCATCGTCATCAAACAGTTTAAAAGCTTTAAAAATTTCCTCACGTAAATCCCGTTGAAGTACCATTTCCGCAGCTTAAATAAAATAATAGAACAAATATTGCAGCTACTGATTTGGATGTTCTTCAGCTAATTTTTTAATTACCGACTGCATAAAAATCATTATAAGTTATCTTATTCGTATTTTGTCGATCATAATCTCGCATCAATCTTTCTATTTCGGTTTTATGGATTTCAAAACCTAAGGCACGTAATGCAACCTAATAGACAAAAGGGCAAGCATGTGCTCAATAAAAAAACAATCAAAAATAGATATACTTTGAACTCATGATAATCAAGCTGATTGTCTTTATCATTATCGAATAATTCAAACACTTCTTTAATTTCATTAATTCTCCTCTGGAGTTACTTCATGCTGTCGATTGCTAGGAGATTTTGGCAACGTTGAACCGGTAAAACTACAGAGGGTACATTTTCAAATTCAAGAGATTTTTCATGACATATAAAGACTTACTTCATTTTCCTTTTGTAATTTATTAAGGTAATAGACTATACAGTAATATAGTATGAATTCTAAATGACCATAGACATGGCAACGAGAGCAAAAAAACTGAGCGACAACCTCTCTCTTAATCAATTCTACTCGTATCTTATTGGCTAATAATGAACGTATTGCGCAAAAACATCTGATCATCAAAAAAGAAAAATTCTTATTTATATGAATTTGATTAACATCTAAAAATGTTGATCGTTACCAAGTGTTAAAATAATTTTTTTATCATGTCATATGAATTTATTTTGCTTAGCCGTTTCTTTTTCTTAATTTTCAATACAAAAAAAGTCTTTAATAAGTCATAAAGATCAAGATTATCTAAATTGAATAGAATAATGATTAGTATTTTTAATGCAAGAGTATACCCGACAAAATAAAGTGTACGGTATCCTAATCAAATGGGATTTACACACTGTTTTGCATCCCGGAATAAATTTAGTTTATATATGCTGTACGCGCTGAGTTTCGTTTTTACACAGTGTTTTTTACGAGAATTTTGATAGTTTAATGATTAAAAGAAGAGACATTTTTCCATTAAACGTAATCAAAATTTTGTTTCGCACAATAGAAAAATGGGTAAAGACGCTATAGACCGTCCTCGTTCACATAACGTAGTATATTGTTTCACTTGTGTACAGTCTGATATAAAAAACCTGAAGCGACAGTAAAATAATTTTTGAAAAACGATAAAAGACAAGAAAAACACCAGGTATTCACACATCTATTAGTGTGAATAATTAACGTTTGATGAAAATATCAGTTAATATACTGTATTGAGTGAAATTTCGTTTTCTTACTTGCACTTTGAAAACTTTACATTTTGTAAATTTAAAATTTCCGTTTGCTCATCGACGCGAGAAATAAAAGAAAAGAAGAGCGAGTTTTTAATGGAAGTTTTTTTCTATCTCTAAAAATCAACATTTTGACTTCTTGCACATTTTGATCTCCGAAACAAAGTGTGCAGTTATACGATGCTCGAAAAAACAGAGTGTATGCTTACATCCTATTTTAGATTTCTATAAAAAACGATGCCAATCATGAACAAAAGGAAATGTTCAACAGAATAGAAAATACCGCCAGTCATTCATCGTAGTCTAATATTATGATATGAACTTTTTTTTTATCTTTCATCTGTCTCGTAGACGGAAATGTTGTATGATGCAGAGATACGCATATAAAACGAAATAAATAAACTATATCTAAATATTACTTCCCTCGTAAGATACTTGATTTATATGATGAAAATGTGTAAGTATCAGAGAACGAAAACGAACCGAACCGAACTCGAACCGACTTGGAAAAAAAAGACGAACCGAACCGAACTCAAATCAGAAAAATTCGGTTCGATTCGCTCTCTGGTAAGTATCAAAGATTTCAACGTACTCGAAATTGCTAAAGACCCACTTTTATTTTTGTCAAATCACCACTGACATCTTGCAATTTTATTTTATGATTGGTCTACTTTTCGAATAATTCTGTTCTTCATCGATGACTGATTAGCATTAGCAAAGTAAAACTAAAAACAAGAAACCTGTCTGTAGTTTACATTCGAAATGATGATAGATCATCAATGACTCAGTCTTATCTGTTTCAAGTAGTTATCGTGTCAAACAATAACTTGCTATTTTACGTTTTATCTCCCAATGAACTCAATCGTACGTGCTGAATTTGCGTTGTCAGCAGAAAACATTATCTAGCTGATGCAGCTGATTTTATGCTACTATTTTTGTTTCTTAAAGCATGACTCTTTCCAAACCTATTTATTTTGACGAAAATTTCGTCACCTCATCTATACAGACTGATGGAAAACTTAACAAAGATTATTTTTAAAACGTAAAATACATCAATTTGGTATGTTACTTTGAATATAAATTAGATAATTTCAGTAAGCTTTATACTAGCTATCTTTTCTGAAAACTATATTTACTTTTAAACATTTGCGAAGCTGAACTATTTTATTTGTTTTTACAATATTGCGGAGTGTAATAGAAGAAAAACCAGTCATTGATATGATTGGTTGTAGTATCATCTTATCAATCAGAAAAATAAAATTTACGCGAGCAATAGCAGTCCACCCAGATGAAATATTTGATATATGAAAAGAAATTTCGTTCTTATTCTGATCTGTTTTAACAAGGTTAATAATTTCACTAGACCATTATTGCGTCATCAACCGTAACATCTGTTGTGATTTCTCATTGAAGAAATTTGTCATCGAATTTCCAAAGTTATGAAGTAAAAAAATTTCTTTCTATTATCTTGTCTAAACCGATGAATAAACCACAATAGATTGTTGTATTTTCTTTCATCATACAAAGAAAATCCATTGTTTCATAAGATAGTTAAAATTTTAATCATCAGATAATTATAAGAATTCTGTAAACAATCTAGTTCTTATTAATATTGTTACTTAGGACTTGTTTGAAATCAAATATTTTCTTGTATCTATATATAGATTTGCTTGTTTCCATGAAACAATTTGATAAAAAAAAGTTGATTGAGTTTTTTTCTAGTATGTAGTTATTCAATTCGATCACTTGATGATTTTCGATCTTCATTCATTCATTCAGGTATTTTATACGAATTATATAGAAGTTAAGAAACGAAAGTAAGTGTTGAAAAAATTGGCCAATCAGTCTTCATCGAACTAGAAAATAGTCATGTTGAGAAAGATCTCTAATTTAAAGTATTATTCAAACAAATACCATTATTTTAGAAATTTTGAGAATATACTTAAGAAATACATCCACTTCAAAATAATCTTTGAATAATTAAGCAAATCTGTTCATCATTGATTATGATACGTGAATATTTGTGTCTTGATAATTATAAAAATTTCAGATATTCGAAATTTAATCATGACGACAATAAAACACGATATCAACGAAAACGATGAATCTGAAGAGTCGCTATCGGTATGTATCTCTTTCATATATATATATATATTAAATTGACACATAATGAAACATTTGGTTCTTCTTAAGATTGATGATCATAAAATTATGACAATGAGTGTGAAAGAATTAAATGCATTATTGAAATCAATGAAACCAAATGATGCAGCAAATATTAAACGTCGACGACGTATTCTTAAAAATAAAGGCTATGCTGCAAGTAGTCGTCATCGACAAACTTCCATGGTCGGAAATTTATCTTCTGAACGAAGTCAACTAGTGAGACAAGTAAGACTATTATTTGTTGGGAAAATCTTGCACTTATCTTTATCAATTAGATCAATCAATTACAGCATGAGAATGAATCATTATCACAAGAATTACGAGGTTGGAAACAACGATATTCTGATCTTCAGTTATTAACATCACCCGCCGGAACCGTATCGCAAAACACAGCGGCAAAATCCAATTATGTAAAAGAACCATCCCATTAAAAGACAAAGAAAAGACGACTTTTGAATTTCAAATATGAATTCTCTGTGATTTTGCAATTAATTATTATTTTTATTTTTGAATGCTTGAATTTAAAATCGAAAAGAATTTTTTTCAGCACATCTAGCACAGATAACGGCACATTTTGTTTTACTGACAATAGTAAATTGTCTATTACAGTTTGGTATCAAAATGCCGAGTTATAACATTTAACTTTTCATGACTGTATATTAAATGAAAATATTTCTATCAGAAGTATTTCATTCATATTTTCTTTATTGAATTTCTGGTAACATATTTCGATTTTGTTTTATTGTTATTGATGATGGAATGCTCGATGAAATCACAAGAATCATTATATTTAGACTTGAGCTTATCATCCAGCAATTACAAAAAGTAAAAAACAAATCCAGTGAATAATTTATTTGCAGGATTAACACGCAACAGGATACCGAGTTTAACAAGTCAACACGCAAAATAAGGTTTAAAAATATACAATAGAAAAAATAAGTAAGAACTATTTTACTATCCATCAAAATAATTTTTAGCAGATACACCGAGATTATTTTTTATGTCCAATTGATCGCATTTGAATTTCAAATTCTAGAAATTCTCGAAAACTTTTATCATCAATATGTTTTTTTAAAACATCCTTGATCACTTCCTTAGCTGCACCAGGATAACGTTGTGCAATTTCTTCCGCAAATGATATCCATACACCTATATTCGATGAAACAAAAATGTGGTCGGGTATTTTAAATAAAAGTGATCATCAGTTTATGACTCATAAACGTAGTATATATAGGTTAGTAGAGGAAGGCTGACTATTTATCGCTGTCTGTATGATCAACTTGCATTGCGCATCAATGAACGACTGATACAAACTTCCGTATGTGATCGTGATAGGATCGTATTTTGACAGATTACATGGCTCTATTATTAAAATAGTATATCTTCGAGACTATATATGGACTAAACATAAGACGATTTCTGTTTCACCTGAGCGCCGTTGAAACACTGAAAGATGACGTATCTGTTTTGCGCACCTACTCTGGTAACGGAATTGCTACAAACCGGGTTTTTGCAGAGGTGAAAAATTTCTTAAAATGAATTTTGAAAAAAAATATATATTTAATTTGTGCATATTCATTTTAAAACCGTTGATATGTATCTGCTGTACGAATTAATATCGCTGTGTTTCGCCACAAAAATTACTCAAAACAAAACAAATATCAGTATTTTTAATTTATGTGTTATTTATTCTATAATCTTAACTATTTAAAAAAACGCTTGTACTCAACAAGGTTTTAGTCAAGAAAACTAGTATATAGAGACTGAAGAAAATATCTCATGGTCATGTTTCTCATCGGCATCGTTGATCATTTATAATTCAAAAGTGTTCACTCGTCAGGAATGCTCAGCAGAATCTGTAAACATAGATACCATTCGATACAGGAAATCTTCACTTTACTAACCAACATATATCTCGTTTTGAGGTCAATTTTCACCGTCACACTTGTAGTCACCTTTAACAAAAGCAAAAATAGTTTCCTTACAATTAGCACAATTACTCATACAACATGTTGTTGGAGGTACTAAATCATTATCTTGTGAATTATACGACGTTGATGATTGCGATCGTCGACCAAGCGAACGTTTTACTAATTGTAACGTTTGTATGTGAAATATGCGAATGAAAGCATTGATCATCTGGAAAAAAATCGTACTATCATTTTCAAGACAAAAACATCAATCACGTTTTAATACCGAAAAAAGGAGAAACAAAGTAAGTGTAATCCACGGAAAAAAATACATCAGAAAAAAGCAATTTCATCTAAGTTTTTATTGCTTTTTCTCAGTGAATAGGGACGATTCACGGACTAATCGTAGCAATGTATCAAAGGTCATGAATGATACTCCAACAGATATGGGTCCTTTGAGCCAATTCATTGTTACACCTTTATATAAACCACGTCGTATTCCTTCTTCGCGAACTATTTTACGTGCAGTTGCTAGAGCACCAAGCGCTGCTTCATCAGCCCGAATAACTGCAGCTGTTTGTAATCGACGTCGAACAACGTCGAATGGATATAACGCTGTTTGACCTACAAGGCCTGCAATAGCACCACATAGCATTCTTTCTGTTTTATTAATCGGTCGCTGAGTATTGTAATCTATGATAGAAATTACAAATGAAAATCTTTTTTTATCTACCTATATTACTTTCTTACCTGTACGTATATGTTTTAGGGATTCATAAGTAAAAAAAACACAACCGGAATAGGGTAATACACCAACTAGGGATATTAATGCTCCACGATATAGAGCTGTGACGCCTTCAGTTCGTAGAATGCATAGAAAGAGAGCAAATAAATTACTGTACCTAAACAACAAAGGATTCTATTTAGTTATGAATATATGAACCAAACAAAAAGCAACGATCTATGTTATTAACAATGGAGCACACAGGTCAAGTTAAGAAATCAGTTTTAGAAAAATACATACATGGCTTTGTTTGTTACAGCCATACGAGCTCTTGCTAAATCAAGTGGATAGGTAATAGTAGCGGATGTAACACCGGCTAACGAACCAGAAATAAATCGTCGACCAGGGGTTTTTCTAAAAACATTAATTGTCATACTATTATGAAGTGTTACATTTGTATTTTACTGTTCTGTGTCGGTGCCTAGAACACGTTTCCATTGTTCGTGAGCTGTAAAATTGATGGCTGCTGAAGGAACAACACGGACTAAATTGGCTGAATTTCCACGGTACCAACTTAGAAAGCCTTCTTTCACATAGGACTCTCTTAAAAATTGAAAACAACGACGATAACTGAATTCACCAACTCTAACTTGAGAAATTAAACACAAAAACAATTAGAAAAGATTAATTTTCTTAAATTAATTTACCTTGAAAGTTAATTTTGGCTCGATCGAAAGGTGCAATACTTGTCTTTGCAACGGCACCTAAAATGGAAAGAAGTAATCGATAGGCAAACGATACTCATCGATAAGCATAAAAATTTATTTTCGAATAAATTGAAGATTCAACATAATATTTCAACGCTAATAGCATACCTGCACAAGCACCGGCAAGTAACGATGTAATAATTTTTTGTGGATTGGAGAGCTGAAAAAAATGAATAAAAGTTGACGTTTAATTTATTTGCAATATGAAAACATACTTTTGCCTGTTCGTTTTTTTGGTCCATAGTTTGTATGACAATTATTCATCATGCTTTAAAATGAGAGACATTAATCACTAATTTTTGCGGAATAATAGAAGAAAAATAGAGATGTCAACAACTTGGTGAGAATGGCCGGAGAAGAGTCATAGAATTATCTAGAAAATAATTGAATTTTTTTTTTTTATAGAATATGAATTGTTGTTTGTCAGAGAAAATATCTGTCTGGTTAACATGATTGATTTCATGAAAAATGTTCCTGAAACAAAAAAAATCATGCAGTGAATTAGAATTATGTAGAATGTTCATAGGCACAAATCTTTTATTGTAGCAATTTTCTAAGTCGCAAATCAATCTTTCTAATGAAAAAATAAAATATTCAATTGAAACCTTGTCCTAAAAGTACAGCGTCTCGACAGAGATACCACACATTCTCGTGCCAAGGCATTCAAAGTTCATGATGCTTTACATTGTACACACAGACTCATGTTAAAAATGATTTCTTGGTTGCAATGTTTCCTTTGATTAAAATAGATATATGAGTTAGTTCTTAATAACCCTTAGAAAAAAGTAAAATTTCATTAAAAATCCACAAGACATAAATAGTAGTTATGTAAGCTATATCATTGCTATTAAGATAAGCACTGATGCACCAGTAGTTGTTATTTAGATTGATCTTTAACACATCGTTGTTTGTTATTTGGCATGGAGTAGAGTTATTTTTTTGTTCTCTATCGATTGTAGGTGTTTGAAAATGTTTTCTCTTTTTTTGTTCTTTGACAATTTAAGTATAAAAACACGATGAAGAATCGTGAAACACAATATGTTCATAATTCTAGAACGAAATACATGGAGAAACGACGACGAACAAATACAGGAGACTCATCCTCTGTATCTCTCAAAGAAGCAATTGCTAGTCTCAATCCATTACTACAGCCATTTGATGATGAAACCAGTGATTCAGAAACTTGCCGTGGGCAATTACCTGTTTTTCAAATAGTCCATACCGATACGTCGGAAAACAGTAACGGAAATATTGATTTCAGTAAAAATCAAAATAATATTTTTCGAAAATATTGTTGCTATTTGCAAAGATTTTCTGGTATTATCTATGCATTATTAGCTTCACTATTATTTACATGTTCAAATTTTATTATACAGAAACTTGATGTTATTCTACTGGATGTATTTCTTGTTCGATTCTTTTTCCAAGGAATTCTCTCATTGGGTTTCATAGTTTATAAAGGTTACCATCCATTTTCGAATTGTAATGGTCTATTAGTTTTTATTCGATCAGTAATTGCTGCTACTGGTAGTGTCTGTTTTTATCTTGGTCTTGCATTTCTACCTCTACCGGATTTAATGACATTACGATATACACAAGTTGTTTGGACAGCTCTGCTTGCATTAATTATATTCCGAGAGCGAATTACTTTTCCAATCGTTATCGCAAGTACATTAACACTTATTGGTGTTATTGGTGTTGCTCAACCATCGTTTCTATTTACAAATTCAACCATAATCAATGGAACATCACAAGCCACATTAACAAACAATGATGATAAACGTGCATTAGGTATGTTTGTTGCTCTATTATGTGCATTTTCTATATCGATGGGTATCGTTTTGAATAAAAAATTAATTGAAAGAAAAGTTCGACAAAGTATTATTCTATTTCATTTTATTTTAACAACTTTTATGATGCTATTAATAATACAAACATACCATTGGACATTGTCGAAAACAAATCAACAAAAATTTAATATAAAACAAGTTTACTTAACGAAAAATTTTATCTATGCAACGATCCTTGCAACATTACAATTAATTCCAATGGTTCTATCACAAAAATCAATTAAACGCGAACATCCATCAGTGTTTACGATTGTTCAAGCATCTGATATAGTTTTTGCTATTATATTACATAATGTATTTTCTAAAGTTAAATCGAATGGATTTGTATTATTGAGTTCGGCACTTGTTATAACAAGTATTATTATTGTTGGTACTCATAAACTGTGGCAAGATCGAAAACATGCTACTCATCTTCCAATTTCAATAGACGAAACAGAATAATATTTCTTTTTTATTTTCACTCTTTTCTTATTATTCGGCTAGATTGAGAATAATTTTTCTCAGATAGTTCGTAAGTATTAAATTATACGTCTCACTGATATATTATTGATCTGAATAGAATATCTCATAAATTATGATATTTTCTTTTTCTTTTCAATGAGGATCAACATATCCACACAATGACTATATTCTTTCCACTATACTTCTAGAGCACTCAAAATATCTATCGAAGAAAAGTGAATGTATAATAAGTTCTGAGAACGAAAACCAGTTGTTTTGCGAATGACTCCCAAAAGTCAATAGAAAAAAAAATCACAGTTGTGATAGTATTGTAGAAAATAAAGCATATTCAGGTTTGATACAATACGCGGGAATATGACGCACGAAGCATTTACGATCGAAAAAAATATTCTAATTGATAATATTACATCAGCAACAATTATCCCAACAGAAAATGATAATATTAATATTAATAATATTGATCCTCTTATTGAACCATTGATTGATGCAGACGAATTAGAAGAAGCTGTTCATAATGATGAAACGCTTCATCGAATCGAACGACAATTTTCATCTATTCTTTCACTTAATTCCCGTAAACAAACTCCAACGAAATCATCTCCGGAAATTATTGGTCGATGTACTGGAATCGTTTTTGCTCTTATCGCATCATGTTTTTTTACATGTTCGAGTTTTATTATAAAACAATTACGTGTAGACTTCTTCGATGCACTTCTAATTCGATTTTTCTTACAAACAGGAATAATACTCGCGTTTATTCTTTACAAAAAAAATAAATTTATCAACGGTTCAACAAATTTAATTATTTTACAAATAGTTCGTGCAATCATAGCAGTATCTGGTTTACTTTTATTCTTTTGGAGTTATCATTACATTCCACTGCCAGATTTAACAACATGTCGCTATACACAAGTTGTTTGGACAGCTATAATAGCAATGATTATTTTTCGCGAACGTATATCAATATCAACTGTGCTAGCTATTATATTTACACTAACCGGTGTCGTGTTAGTTGCACAACCCACGTTTTTCTTTGGTAATCATCAAGTATTCTCAAATGCAAGTAAAGTAGAAATGAATAAATCAAATACTACAAATTTCGACCTAGAGAAATCTAATCGTTTACTTGGCCTTTGTCTTGCACTTGGCTGCGCTGTATCAATATCATTGAGTATAGTAATAAATAAAAAATTACTTGTCTCAAAAATACCTCAAAGTATAATAATGCTTCAATTTTCATTGCTCAATTTAGCTGTACTTTTTCTTAATCATATGTACAATCGTCTCATTCTACATAAATATGCCGATCGAACGATGTTTACTTGGCAATTTTTTCTTGCTGCATCTGTTTCATTATTTCAAGTCATTTCCTCAACATTAACCTATCGAGCAATTAAACTTGAGCATCCATCAATAATTTCTATAGTTCAATCATCTGATATACTGTTCGCCATAGCATTACAAAATTTATTTACTAATCAAAAATCAAATTGGTTTGTTTTATTTGGTTCTCTATTAGTTACAACAAGTATTTTTCTTGTGGGTGTTCCTAAATTTTTGTTAAGTCGCAAGCAATCATTAGAAAACAAGAGAAATAGTAGCAAACTATGATAAATTGTAGCAGCTCAATTGTGGTTTATACAAAGGAAATTCTAGGATGTGATTTGTCTACTGAATACTTGAATAGTTGTTCTTGTTTTTTTGAAGTAGATTGCGTTTTAATTAAAGAATCGAGATTATTCACTTTTTGTTTAATAAAAATCAACGATTCGGACTTGTCTATGAATTTGTTTAACAAATTTGAAGACAAAGAAAATATTCTGATTAGATGCATCGGGTTTTCTATCTAGAGGAATACTTCTTAAAGTCTCATCGACGTGTTTACATGAAAGATCCTTTTTTAAACAAACACATTTAAGAGATCAAACTTATCTGGAAAAAGAAATATCATCGATTTCAGTTCTTCATGATTTATTTACAGTAAATAACAATAGTTTATCGATAGATCTATAAAGCTTTTCTCTGATTTATTGTAGCATCCACCAAAAAATACTCCGAGTTTTCCAATGTTTTTACGCTTTCACTTGATGACATTTAAGTAAAGATTAATATAAACTTGTAAGATGTTCAAAGCAATATCAAAATGATGAAAATTACAAATTAGTTTATCCTACCTCTCTCATTAAATAAATATTTCAAGTCAGGTTTGAAGACGAATGTTCAATAAACTTGCTGCTATTTAATCTCGAATCGATTGTGTTACATAGGTTTCTGTCTTATCATCGATAAACGTATCGTATGTAGCGATTGTTTACACATCTAGAATTGAAATAAAACCACATGACTTGTGACGATATTCAATCAAATTTTTTATTGTAACTCCATAATTGCAAAGCACAATATGAACTCAAAACAACTACCATAATTTATTCCAGTAAAAAGCATGACTAAAAAAATGACTTAAAAAACAACAAACAAAAAACGTAAAAATTATTTTGACATTAGCTCCCAGAAAAACATACACATAAAGCATACTGACTAAATTATATCGAATGAAATAAATGACATGAGCATATTACAAGTGGGACGAAGCGATACTTGCGTACTTCTGCTTTTTTTTAAGTACAAAAGAAGTACAATGGGAGTACGTGAAGTACGGAAGTTTCGCTTTTCCCTCTTGGTATATTGGAAATAAAATAAAAGCTAAAAATTTGGCGTTGCATATTTTAAATATAAGCGGCCGTAAGCTGTTGAAAAAGTGTTTCTTGTTTAAGTGGATCATCGTTATCAGACAATTTTGCTGTTGATCGCATAGCTAAAAAGATGTAAGCGCCAATAAATTCATGTATACATTTACTGTCCGTATCATATAATGGTAAAAATTCTATTGTTTCACCATCGAATTCAATGTTTAATAATTTATTTTGCCAATTAACATTCCATGAACGCATTCGAGATATCCACCATGTTTTTATTGTCTCGCCTGTCATTGTCATACGCAAGAGGCGATTCGAACTAATACCAAATAATTCCTAAATAAATAACTTCGACATTCGAAGAAAGAAAGAATTTTCGTTTTACTTCTTTTTTATTTGAATCATTAAATTTAACAACAAACGTTGAAATTCCATATTCAGGTAAAGATTGCCAAGCTTTCAAATATCGTAATTTAGCTTCGATACCATCTAGATTACTCACAGTAGCGTATGCTTCCAAAATGCGTTCAGTCAACTAAAATAATAATAATCCATAGATTGATGATATTTTTTTTAGTTGAAACTTAAAATTCTATTCTCAGAAATACTATTTATATTTTTAACTTTGATGTAAGTTCATTAAATAAAATATCGATCGCAACTATGTTTATAAACATCACGATTCTATAACTCGTATCATTCGCTTTAAAGGTTAAAGTAGTATCAATGTGACTGTATCTATTGCTAATGACTCTTAAACGTGAATTTCCTCAGTCAATGAAGAATTGTATGAATGGTTCACAGGATTGTTTTTCGACATAATTATATTTACTTCTATACATGAGGATGCGAATGTAATGATGGATAATCAAAACATGGTGAGACAAAAAGTTCATTCAAATTTTTAGTCTCTTGACGGAGCCTACAGAAATTTATATGGGTTTCATCATACTAGAATTTCTCTAAGAGAGAAGTAATCATTATATCAAATGCAGTGAATGAAAAATAAACGAATGGTTTACCTTAAAACTGTGGACTGATGATTTTTTTATTGCAACTCATTATTCATGAGCTAGTTTTTGATATAAGACTTCATGATTGTTCTAAAATTTCGTGCTGCATTTTTTCAAAAACAAACAAGCGGTTAAGTTTATGTAACGACAAAATATTCAACGAAATCAATTAACAATTGGACAAGATTATTTCTACTAACAGTAGGACTGTTCCTGTTAAAATAAAATTTAATCCGTAATTTCCAATTCTAGAAAAATTTAGAACTCATATTATAAAAACCAAATCCTATTTCGATTTAAATTCAATGCTCTAAGAACTTCCGTCAGCGACTTACAGTTTAATAAGCGTACTTCTCTATTCAGATTTCTTTTTTGAATTTTATTCAATATGCTAAAAACATTCTTCTTCATTGTGCATTCATTTTTTTAATGTATACCGTTAGCCTGACGCATACTCATTTATTTTTCTTTCATTGTGCACAATCATACGAGAGAAACAAAAGGTACAGTAAGTGATCAACAAATCCCGTAACAAAAGTACATCAAACTGAGAATAATTATTTCACACTTTCAGTATCATTGTTTTTTTTGTTTGCTTTTCATTCTGTTCCTACATAAATAGATTCTTCATTAATGTAAGGTCGTCGTGAAGCAATAGATTTTATTTTCGGACAAAAATATATAATATCGAAACACTTTCATAACAAAAAAAGCATTCGATTGATTTGTCCGCCGTTAAGCGAATAAAACTTACTAACTAACCTGTTTAGTTTTATATTTTTTTGAAATTTTCTTCGAAACATAATTTTCTGGTTGAATATTAAATTTATTCTGGTGGGAATTTGATGATGAATTTTTCATATTAAATAATGCTAAGATTGATTCGCGTTCGGTCTCATAGGATATTTCATCTACTGATTGACCTTTTGATGCAAGACGTAATGCAGCTATCCATGTTGCATACTGTTTTTCCTTGAATGATGAAAGAAAAAAAGAGGAGACATTTTTTTTTAAATAAATTCAAACATACTGTTGAACACTTGATTAATGTTTGATTCATACCATCAATCGATGGTATCATTAAACGAATTAAATATTTTGTTGCTGATGTATTCATATCAGCAAGAATTTCACAACCTCTAAGTGAAATTTTTTCAATCGGTGCACGATATTGTTGAGATTCATTTGTATAATAAGTTAATTGACTGTCGCTTAGAACAAACCAATAACGTTTGTATGATTTAAATGCAAATCGACGTGATTTAAATATACGTAAATAATCGCGTAGCTCTTCTTTTCTTTGTTGTTGAATATTTAATGGTCGAGTTGAATTTACTGATCGAACTTGGGCTTTTCCCAATAGTGAATTTTGTAAATGTTCAAGTGCTTGCTCAACATCGTGATTGTCATATTGATGAAGAGTATCAACATCATAATTAGAAGTAATGATTGATAACGATGATGATGAAGAAGATTGAATTTGAATCTGAAGCTAAAAAATGAATAAATTAATTTTAACTAATAAAAAGCAAAGATATGTTGTGACTTACTTGCAAGGCAGCAAATGTTATCATTTCTTCGTCTGTACAATCTGTATCTTCATTTAATATAGACCATTTGGCTTGTTCATACAATTGATTTATTCGTATTGCATCAACCTATGGAGGAGATGAATTCAAATAGGAAAAGGTCAAAATCTTTTGTTTTACTTTAGGATTTAAATCATAAAACGAATAATATTTGAAACGTAATAAAATTACATCGTTCTCATTAATATCTTGTTCCATTAATGATTTCGATGAATCCAGCCATAGACTATTTAATTTAGATTTTTCAATTAAATTTATTGATTGCATGACTTGTGGTAAAAGATTCTTTCTTGCTGTCAATGGTGTTCGAGCAAAATTTCCATCAGTACTTGAGTTTAAGAGATTAAGTGATTTTGATAAGCTTGATGTCGAATAATCACTATGAAATGATGGTTCTGTTAGTTTATCAATTGTAGCTGTTGATCGAAGTTTTAATGTTGCCGTTGAAAACGATGTTGACTTTGCTAAAGTATTTGTCGCTAATGAATCACCCATTGAATGGTGTCGATGAAGTGTATTTGAATTGTCACGTCGACGACGAAATGATGCACGATGCTCATTTGCATTGGAAACTTTTGGTAAACGTAAAATTGAAAGTTCTTCAGCATGACGAATTCCTATTAATCAATAAAACAATTGTAAGTTTTTATCAATTCATTTTGATTTATGATCTTACCAAAATCTTTACAAATTTTACAAACAGATACATAAACTGACACAGAAAAATCAACATAATGTGATAGAATACGTAAATCGGGTAATTGTAAGCGAATCAATTTATGCATAGTTGTAAATGTTAAATAACTATCAGCTTGAATTCCATATTGATCAAGTGTTCGCCTAGTATTTGTTAACCAGATACTTGCTTTTGGCCACCAAAGTGCATGATCAGAATAATCTTCAGTTCCATCTTTAGAAGAAAAAAGAAAATAATCTTTGACTAAGTAGATAGAAGATAAAAAATGCGAAATGTATCAATCTTTTATTAAGACGTTTTGAACTTGTGAATGATTTAGGAAGCCTTGTTGAAATGAATACTATCATATGGAGCTTTAGCACACATCTAGTGAAACAATTGAAAATCCTTCCAAAAATCAAGCAGTCCTTATTTTAAGACAGACAACATACGATGGAGAAAATTTCTCTTAGAGTAATGGAAATTTAAATCAATTTTCAAAAGAAAAATAAAATTTATTGCTTTTTTTTCAAATTGATAGCATGAAAACATCGTAACTCTCTCTCTTTTCAACATAAAAGAATGTACTTTCTCTTATTTTAGCTTCTAGAGATCTGTCTATCAGTGTGTCAGTCGATGAGAATGATTAGATTTCTAGGTCAAGTTTTCAACAAATTAACAAACATGTTGAATAACAAGTAAATAAATTTCACGTACCAAGACGATTCACAAGTTGCATTATTACTGTACCGATTGACATTGAACCTGTAACAACAATAGCTGTTGAATCAATTGTTAAATTCCATGAAAGTTCACTAGCAATTGATCTTTGCCATTGTGAGACAGGCATTTTGATCTTCAATACAAACAAGAAGCGGACTTTGAACGTGTGTCTTGTTTTAAAAACAAAAATTCTAGTGGATGCAAGTGCACGTGAGCTAGAGCCAATCAGCGTATTTCTATTCATTAGACTATATCTATGGCCTCTTATTTTTTTAGCATTACATTTATCTTTTATGTTTCTAAATTTCATAATAAAAATGCAAGAAATATATTCTATTAAAAAAAGAAGGATTTTTTTCTATATCTTAGAAATAAATCTATCTACTCAATCGTCCATAGAATATATATATATCTATTCCATCAGTCTTTCTTGCAATTTTTCTTGTTAGCTTGTTTATTTCAAACGTGTATAACTATTTGCCTTCTTATACATTGAATAGAAATTCGTCATGGGGGATTTTAAAGCAATTGGCAAAGCTTTCATCGATTTCTACTACAATAAATTTGATACAGGTCCACGAGAATGTGTAGCTGCACTCTTCGTAAGCCTATATATATATTTATATTAATCATAATTTCTATTCTATGAAACTTTTTTCTTTATCTAATAAGGAACCTGTTAATGGCATGCTGTGTTTCAATAATCCAGATTTTGCTAAAGGTGCTCAAGAAATAGCAGACAAATTACGTTCACTTACATTTCAAACAATAACTCATAGTATATCAACAATGGATATTCAACCAACTTATGATAATTGTATTCTAATTGTTGTTACTGGTTCTCTTAAAGTAAATGAAAAAATAAAATTTAATTGAGTATAAATGAGATTGCTTTTCGTTGTTTTTTCTTATTTAGGCCGACAATGATCCACCAATGCAGTTTACTGAAACATTTTTGTTACGTTGTATTAATAATTCATGGCTTGTCATTAACAATGTCTTTCGGCTTATACTTCAAGGTTAAACAAAAAGCCAACAATTCTTTAGTATAATTAATTTGATCAGAATACACGCGAGAAAAAAAGAAACTATCTTTAAGACCCGTTATATTGTTCATTGAACAAAAGTCTTCTTCTTTTACGTTATTTTTTCTTTTCGGTTTACTTGTCAACCTGTGTCATTGAAAATATAAACAACAAAAACCATCAATCAATCATAATTTTTTTTGCCTATGTATCCTCTGTATTTTCTTTTTTTTTAATTTTTCTCTCATTGTCAACCATGATCATAAACACATGCAAATACTTAAAATAATTCGCCTGATATAAACAAGAAAAATTATTGAAAAGCGCTAAGTATTTAACTTTTTTTCTTCTTCACTATGACTTTCATCAATGATAAAACTTTTGTTCAAAATAATATGGGCACGTTAGTTTCTACAACTGTCAATAAGAATGATTTCAGTAAGAAAACAAAATTATAATGATATAGTCTGTTGAAATATGAAAACAAATCTATTTTATCGATAGATTTTAGTCAAAATTCAATTATTGCATTGTTGAAAGGTCCTGATACTCGATATGAAAATATACTAATGAAAGACACTGAAAAATTAACCTGACCACGAATTGATGATCATTGCCAAAATAAAAATTCATTTTTACAAATTAATGTTCGTGAGTCGAAGTCTCATGTATTCTATATGTTATGATTGAATACCCTCAGGTTAGCTATTTGATAGATGTCAAAAGTCATGATTTTTCTTTTTTTTAAACAAACTATCCGTACGGAAAATGAATGGCAAACGATGTTTAAAGAATGAAATTGGCCTTGAAATCGTAATCAATAAATAAAATTTTTCTTTATAAAAATTAAACAGTTAAAAATAAATAAAATAAATGTTAATGAATTGAACTAATCTATCAACAATTATAGAGAAATTGCTTTCATCTACGTTCTCAAAGAAAAATTGTATGTCGATCTGATCATTTTTATTATGTTCATCGCAAATTCTAATAAAAAAATATCATCTCATAATATAGATAAGAATTTCAAATAAAAACAAGATTCTTTTCCGTAATCTTGAAGTTACTTTTATGCATTAATCATACAAAACATTTATTTACACTATTCTTGAGTAATGCCAAAATATCTATCCAGAAAGAGGATATCAATCTATTTTCTCTTGTATGTATGCGTGAATAAGAGATAATAGAATGCAGAAGGCTCCTATTCTGTTGTATTAGTGGTTGCAAAGGTTATCATGTGACTGCAATGATAAACGAAATTAGAAAGAGAAACAAGCCAATAAATATTCGAGTATGTCAAAGAGATGAGATAATACTTTTTGATACTATAAAAGATATGAGCGAAATGGAATCGCACAATCCATTTACGCAGGATCTTCTAAGAAATGTTTCTGTCTGAATCCTCACTTATTCTATTTCTATATAAAAGAGTTTACTTATCGATTCTTGAATGCACTGGAATATATGTAGATAAGAAACTCATATAATCAAGAGAACGAAATTCCTATAGATTGCAGTACATGAAATAACAATGTGGAACAGATGAGAAAAAAATTTGCATGACAAATTTAATTCTTGAAATTCCAACTTCCACTGAAGAAATTGGTTATAGAAACCGTTAGGTACATTTCAACTGTGATTTAAAGAGGAAATCAATATTTAACACTTGACAGTTATTTTGGCAGCTAGCTGAAAATATTGTTACTTGTCAAATTTTCGGAGATTTCGGTTTTCATGTACAAACTGTTTTTGAATACAGGTTAGAATGCCCTTGCAAAAATGTCCTTTACGAAATGTCCTCGGAAAAAATACCCTGCAGCATAAATGTCCTTCGTGAAAGATGTTTTTGGGAAATCGTCCTTTGTGTGAAAATGTCCTTTGCTGTTAGAGATGCACCAATTTCTACTACAGCCAATTTTGACCAACTCTAAAACTTGAAATCGCTGAGAATTGAAATTGGTGTATCTTATCCCTATTCGCCGTGAAGGGTGAGCGTGAGGTGCGGTTGCGGGTCTGGTATTACTATATTCTTGTTCACAGCTACACCGCACACCCACATCTCATATCCACACCCCACACCCAGGGAAACAATCATATACTAAGACCTGTCACGATTCTGAATCTGATCTTGTTAGATCAAGCAAAAAATCATCTTCTCAGAAATCTTAGATCGGCACGTACCATAGTATTCGTGAAAGATCTTAATATTGCATAAGATTTTCTAAAATCTTGTAGTCATATCTTACAATACAGCAAGATCTTTCAAGAATCTCATGGTACGAACTGATGGAAGATTCCACAAACAACGACTTTTTTGTATGATCTTGTCTGGTGTTCAAGATCTAACGCCAGATTTTTAGACTTGGGCAGCCATACTCTCACACACACACACAACGATCAAAGTCCAGAATTGCTGAACAACGAATCAAAGAATTATATGATCGGTTCAACAATACCCAAATTACACTACGAGTTCTATTACATGGACTTTCTTTTTTATCGCGAATGAAAAATAAGATGAAATTTAATCCGTTATAATAAACTAAACTGCATTTCTAACATTATCGACTACCCTTGATTTTATTTTACTGAAAGGACATTTTGAGCATGGAGGACATTTTTTTCGAAGGATTAAATCCGAAAGGACCATTTTCCGAGAACAGTTTTACCAAGGACATTTTGCCTAAAGGACTTTTTTCAGGGTTCAAATCCCGGGGACATTTCGCAAAGGACATTTTTGCAAGGACGTTCTAGACAGCTGTTATTCTGTTTTTGACAAATAACTAATAAGTTTCAAAAAAATACTGATTATTTTAGTCGTCATACGTAGATATACGTACTTGGAATTGAATGTGAAAAATTAACTTGAGAACGTACTAGCTCTATTGTTTCGTTATCTTTTCTATTCATATTTTGTGGAAAATAAAATGTTGGGATTTATTTGTAAGAGAACTTGATTAAATCATTCAAAATTTCAACTCTTAGTAGCTAGATTGCAAAGAACTTTTACGTTCTTACTCAATAAGACTTCCATCGTTAGAAGAGAATTTTTCACTACCTAGAGACTAGAAGATGAGTTGTGCTAGTATTCGTTGTATGACTGAATAATTCCTCGTGAAATCCTTCGTACCATAAATCTCAAGTTCACCAACACTATACTGAACTTAAAAGTGTCTTTTTTTGTACTCCAATTCTTTTAGTACAATGTCGTCTATTCTCTTCAAGAAAACTCGTGCCTAGAATTCAAACTAAAACTCTTTTATATCGTTTCAAGAACTATTAATTATTATTAACGATTCACCTTAATAGAAGCCTTCGCATTTTTCATTTTGTTTTGTGCCCATCATCATAGGCCATAAAATAATGTGTAATAGAAAATTCATTACTTCTAACAAAAGTAATGACATCTAATATAATTCCATCGAGGATAATTTCATCATTTAGATATACTATGTTTAATACTAAAAATAACTATTCGTATCTACGCAATTTTGTCTATAGGTCCATTAAATGCTAAAGAACACGAGCAGTTATTAATAAAACAATATCGTCAACTATGGAAACGTCAATATCAATTACTGAAAAAAAAGAGAAAAGTCTCTTCATTTCACATTTCGTATTACTTACAGATGCCCAATGAAATCCAAGAGAAAGCAGACATCTTCTATCATTATTAATTCTTCTCAATCATATTTTTCTCTTATTCAATAACCATCATCACGTAGAAAACTAAATAATCAATTTTCAACTAAGACTAAGACTAATCGACTAAAATCAGCTGTTAATATATCATTTATTCCTGATAAAAGTCATGAAACATCAATAAATAAAATTCCAAACGAAGCTCATTCATCATCATCATTACTTAATATTCCATCGAGAAATATATCTACTCATAAAATTCATTCATTAAATGCAAACGTAGAAAAGCATCTATGTCAATCATGTAGTTCACTCTTGTCGAATGGCATATGTTCATGTATTGTTCAATACTTGCTAAAATTGAACAGTACAAAAGGAAATGAATATTCTCGTTCAACTCACATGTCCTATTTGAGAATCTTACGAGTAACAAAATAATCACGTAACATAAAATATAGAAAGAAGTACTTCGTGTTTCTTGGCTCGGTAGGAAAAGAAGAGAAGAAAGAAAAAAAGAACAATAATTTAAAATTACAATAGACAACAAATTTTTGTACGTTTTTCTTTTGTTTGATTTAATGAAGTTGGTGGAAGATGATTAATAACAACAACAGCTGGGTCTTCGCCATTACCGAGCAAACCAATTGCACTTCCTTGAGATGTTTGAGTAGGAAATAGCTTTGCTATTGGTGCATTGTTTACTGTTGATCCACTTGTACTGACACCACCGTCAGCAGTAAAACTATTTTTTTTAGTTCGTCCACGTTGTTTTTTCTTGAAAAATTCTTTACTTTGCGACTTACTCATGGGATCCGACTATAAGAAAAAATAAAATAAAATAAAAATTAACAATAAAATATTGAAACTAATAGAATTCAAAACATCATTTGAAACAAAGAAAAAAAACAGAAACAGAAATTTCTAAATAATATCGCTCTTTCGATCAAGATCATGTGCAGGTATTGGATTTTGTGATGTACATGGAATTGTCATGGGCTTATATTGTGACTCGAAACAAGATGAACTATGGCGTTTAACAAGACCATGTTTTTGTTCTGATAAATATAAACTTGGTCTTCCTGTTAACGGTGTAAGTTTTGAACGTGATGATGATGCCGATAATTTATTTGTCAGAGAAGATTTTGCATAAGCACATTGATGATAAGATATTGGTTGATATATTTTATGTGTTGGAAGTGAATGCAATGATGTTTTAATGCCTGTACCAGTTCCAGCACCAGTACAACTACTAAGTGAATCTCGTAATTGAATATTTGCATGTTGTAATTGATGAAAAAAATGTGACCCACCACCACCACCACCACCACCGCCAACGCCGCCACCGCCCATACCATTTGAACAACTTAACTCACTTTGACGCCTCGATTCAACATATGACCAATTAAAATATCGATGTCGAAATATTTTAAACAAACATTCATAGAAAAATTTTCTTAGTTCTCGACGAAATAATTCACCTGTAAATGTATACAAGTAAAATCCGCAGCCATGATCAAGATATAATAAAAATCTCATAATACCATCTAATAGAATTAAATATTTCTTTTCATAATTTAAATATGGTTCAATAACAGAAAAAACTCGTAATGGAAATGTTAATAATAAAAAAAGAAACGTTGATACGAATAAAATATATGCTAATTGTGTATCACGCGGTGAACGTGTTTGTCTTATGCCTATTTGTTTCATATAGATACGTGATTTATAAACAGAATGCATGACACTTGTATTTGCAATTAATATAATAATGAATGGTACGAGAGAATTTATTAAGAAATCCATCCATGAAAAATAATAAATTAAAAAATGTTCATATTTTTCTTTTGATGATCGCCTTAAATTTGAACTACACATAGCTAATAATTTATGGTCTGTATCATTACTCATAGAATCATAATTTCGTTCTTGTTTTGAACCAAAATATATTAAATAATGAATATTAAGAAAAAATAATATAATATACATTATAATTAATGTACAATATGAATGTTTATGACTAAATACATTTTTATTCCAAACATAACGTTTTGTTACAGCAGCACGTTCAAGTGATATAACACATAATATCCATACGGCGCAATGAGAAAAATAACTGGTAAGAAATTTATATGTTCGACATATATATAATGAACGTTGTAAAAAATACGATTGAAACGTATAACGTATTATAAGACGTATACAATTTAATGTAATCAATATTAAATCCTAAAGATGACTAAATTAATTATTGTGTGTTAAAGAAATGAAAAGAAAATAATTATTTACCATGCAACTTTCAGCAACAAATAGAATAGAACAACCAAATTTTTTAAATTTTTTTCTCGTAAATATAAGTATTGTTAATAACGAACCAATAAAACCAAATGGAAGTAATAACCAAGGATATATGCGATGGAAATTTAGATTAAATTGAATTATGGAATCATCGGACATATTTGACGATATTGAGTAAAGATAATAATATTCAAAATATTCAATGTTCATTGTGTCCTCTGTTTTCTTTTTCCTTTTTTTGTCTTATATCTACATTAGTTTTTTAGATCTTGTTTTTGAATAAAAAGAAATAAGAAGAGAGATGACTATTGACGTTCTCCGCAATCCTATGATCAAGAGGTACTTGCCTTACTCAATCTAATTTTTGACTCAATTGACAACTTCCTACTAGATAGAACTTTCCGCTTATAGACATACAATATTGAGTTTTGTCTAATTACCTCATTTTTTTTTCTTCTTGTTCTTTTCCGGATAAAGAATAAAGATGAGTAAATATTTCAGATCGCAACAGTGAGAAAAAGAATTGCACTATTAAAAAAGGCTGAGAAATACACACACCTAGTTGATGTTAATCCTAACAGAAAATAAATCTCAGACAAAATGATTTTGATAGAAAAACATGTTTTTTTTTCTCGCAGAAAAAGAATCTCCAGTTGACATTAAAAGGAATAACTAGAATTTATGTAGTAAGACATCGATGCCATCATGTCCTACTTAATTGCCGAGTAATAATAAGTCAACATAAATATAGGCGAGTGTATGAACACGTCTTTTGTCTTTTCTTATATATTCTGTGCTATGTGTCGTCATTGTCAATTGCTTCGTTCTTATTTTTTTGTCTTGCCTGCAAGGCCTTTTATGTCTCGTGTTAATTAATGTCTTTCTTTTTTTTTTCTTTTTTGATCCATCGATTAACTTTGTACGTCCATCCGAAAGACGTAAATACAAATGAAACATGTTAGTTATTGATATTCTCAACATGTAACTGATTTATTTCCGATTAAATATTTGACTAATACAATTGTTTGATTTCATGCTGAGAACAATTTCTTTCTTTTTCTGTTTTTCTTTGTTTCAAATGATGGAATCGAACGAATATAAAAAACAAAACAAACCAACAACTTACCAGTATCGTATCAGAAGTAACTTGATCACTTTTTGAAACATGTCGACTATCAGACATTAGTGTTGAATCTTTTGGATACAAGAATGGTTTCGGTTTTATCGGCAATAAAGTATTCGACGGATCGGAAAACACTGAAGAAAATCAATGAAACGATAGTTGTTGTTTTTGTTTTTTATAAAATTAAAAGTACTTGAAATTGAAACATACTTTGACAGTGACGTTCTAGTGGTTTTGATGTATCACTAGATGAGATATTAAATAGACCTAGCATAGCAACACAACATGTATTTTGTAGAATTGCCGCATATCGTGCTAAATATCAATTTATAAAATAATGAAGTTTATTTAACTTTTTATCTATACCTCCAGTTTGGGCAACAAGTAATTTCACAAGAATATGATTGAAATGAAATGCAGCTAAAAGAATGCCTGTCATTGTCGACCAAGCTGAGAGTAGGCCATCTTGTGAAGCTTAAAATATAAGGACAAGTAAGAATAAAACTGAATCGAAAATATTATTTTACCAGTTATAGCAATATTACTATCGATAGTAAATGCGGCAGTGACGATGGCAGTTTTATGTCTAATAAGTTTATGTACAACAGCACCTATTCAAATAATCAAAGATTTACTTTGTTTCTTACAAATCAATGTTCTTTTTAAATAAAAATTAATTCTTTTATCTTATTATTTAATTGACAAGTGTTTAAATACATGAACAGAAAACAATATATTCGTTAACGGATATAAAGGATTTCTTGTCGTATGATTAACACAGTCAGTCACTGTTGAAATGTGACTGTTGTAGTACATAATTACAAATTTCAATGGATAGAATATTAAAAAGATAGAGTGAACTTCTATGAGTACATCATGAAAGATGAAAATAAAATTCTAACAAAAATTTCGTTTTTCAGATAAACACAAGCTCTGAAAACAATACAAAATGGAGAGTATTTACCATCTTTAAATGACCATATAATGGCGTGACCATCTTTGTCACCCGTTAGAACGTGTTTTTTATCTTCGCTAATTGCGACAGCAGTCACTAATTGTTCATGTTCAACGAGAACCTCAAGAAGGAAATATATATTATTAAATCTTTTTCTTAGATTATTTTTGTTACCTGCGTTAGTTTTCCGGATGATAATTCCCATAGTTTACAACTAAAATCTTCTCCGCCAGTAACTAAATATTGCGAATCAGCTCGAAATGCCATACAAGTTATTTTGCCTTCGGTATGATCGATGGAACGAACTACACGTGCATCATCCAAAGACCAGATTTTTAAACTAAATGTTACATTTAAACATTATTATAATAATGATTAACAAAAAAGACTTACAGATTATCTCCATTTCCGGATACAACATATTTTCCATCCGGAGAAACACCAAGCATTTTACATGGTGTATTGTACTAAAAGAAGTAAATATTTAATGGTACTTTAATTTAGTATTTTAATTAATAATTTACTGAATCAATTAGTTCTCCTGTATTTGCCCACCATGTTTTAATATAGTTCTGTTCATCACTTGATAAAATCTTTCGGTTATCTTCTAATATGCGTACGTGTGCAATTGGCGCTGTATGATGCTAATTAGACAGAAAAGGAATTTCTTGTTTTTTTTTCTATTAAAATAACTAATTATCTATAGTATTCTTACAGTGAATTCTGTAACAATTTCTCCCATTTCGTTATCGTAAACTTTAATTGTTGTGTCTTTTGAACCCGATAGTGAAAATAGATATGAATGTGAAAGTGCAACTTGTGTAACAGGTGCCGGATGATCAATAATATGTGCACTGAATTCTCCATCAACTAAATTAAATAATCGAACACTACCAGCTGCACAGCCAGCGATAGCAGCATCGCCTTCACGTGATATCGATAATGCTGTTATATAATCTGTCGATGATAATGGATCTTCAGTGACAAAACCAGTAAATTGTTGTTTTACATTTAAAACATGTATAGCATTCTAACAGAAGAAAATATTTTTAATATGAGAAAGTCTAGTACTAATTGATGAATCAAATACTTCAGCTGCTGAAAAAAGAAAACAATCATCAGCCGATATAAAAAGATCGTTAACAGCTGAATCATGTTCTTGTAATGATCGAAGAAGTATTCGTGAGCGTAAATTATAAACATAAATAGATCCATTACTACAGCCAACATAACAACACATTGAATCGTTTGACATTGAAAGACTTGTTACTGCCGATGAATGCCCTTCTAGATTATGTATGTCGCTACCAGTAACAAGAGATTTAACTTGAACTGTCGTATTTTCGCATGAGACTATTATGAACGTATCATCTGTTGATACAATCAAATGTGTTATTGGTGAACCGATGGTATCGATTATATCAAGTAATTGCATTCCTCGAAATGTCCAGCGTTTAATTGTTTGATCACGTGAAGCTGCAAAAATAATATATATTTCTGTCGGAAATCGAATATCAGTTCTGACTTCCTTCAAGCATTGTAATTAACCAAAAATAAAATATGTTGATTAGAGAACTTTTTTGGAAAAAAAGCTCACACTCCAACCCTCAGCTTGTATAATCTCTCGGTGATAGTAAGACAAAAATTTTACTATTTTAGGATTTCATAGGGTCAGTTGAAAAACTGAGTTAAGAAGTAGACTATTCGCAATCCGATATTATTCATATTTCTCGATAGATGCGATTGATACTGGTTTTATCTTGAAATTTATTTTTTAAATCTTTTTGTTCGAGACATTCAACGATATACGAGTAATTAAATGAACTTTTTTCCCTGAAGAAAACGTTCCGGTCACAGAGATCCCAGAATCCCATGAAATTCTCATAGGATATACTCGCGCTGTAATGTAAGAGTTATAAGAAAAAAATTATAATCCCCTTAATATAATAGCTTTACGAGATAGTCAACTAAAAATAGCGAAGCATAGCTCATTTGACAAGCTCAAATCTAGGGAGAACTTTCATTATGTTCAATTTATTATTTTATTCAAAGAACATGCCACGATGCGAAATATGTCAAAGATTTTTAAAAATTTTTACTTTCTAATGAGTGGCTAAGGATGAAAATTTGAATATTCTGAAAACTGTCAAAAAGAACGGCTTAGTAATTATAAATGTATATTTTGTTTTTTGATAAAATAGTAACGGAATTAATTAGAAAAATAAACAATATTCAGGTATGCTCCGCATTTCAACATGCTTTTTGACAAAAATCAACTTTTATGAGAAAACTACCTTAGCTAGTGATGAATTCGTTGACTTCTTTTAATTTAATCAGAAAAGATAATTTTTGAAATGATCAAAATCAAAATAACTAACCAGAAATTAATAAGGCATCGTCTTGTGTAAGTCCAACACCAGTAACAGCATCTGTATGCTGTTCGATTGAATGTTCGATTTCACCGGTTTCGAAGTGACATACAATAATCAATCGATCACGAGTACCTACAACTATTAGCTGATTATCATGCGAAAGTGTCGTACAAAGTATTTCGTTTTGATTTATTCTAAATAAAAATCCTATTATTTTGTTGTTTCTGTTTGAATTTACTTCAAAACTATATTACTGATAATTATTTTCTAATTCACCAGAATTCAAATTAAATAATTTTATTGTTCGATCGGTTGATGTCGATACTAAAAATTTACTATCGTGTGTTAATTGAATAGATGTTATTAATGATGTATGACCTAAATCAATAAAATGACTTTTCTAATATTTCTCTTTCAATATCGTCATACCAGAGAACGTTTTCACAAGTTTTTTCGACGGTATATGATACATCGCAATCTCATTTTTACGTGTTGTACAAAAGACATGTTGATTAAATGTTGTTGCTGTTACTTTAAATGCTCCACCACTACACGGTAATGTAGTTATAACCAATGGTGGAGTTGCAGATATCCATGAAGACAGTGGAACAAAAACTGGTATACTACATGATTCACACCAATCATGTGCTTGAACGAACAATGATTCGATATGTTCATTATAATAACTTTTTATATTTCTTAAACGTAAAATGATTTCCCCAGCAAGCAAAATTGGATCATTGGAAACAATATCAACTGTATTTTTTAAGATTGTTTGAACAATAAGAACATCAGCATCGAGAATATTACTACAAATTATTTCGATTTCCCATAATAATTGTTCGATTGATAAACCATGAATTTTAGCGAGTAGATATTCAAAACAACATACTGTATATTCTTTTAGCCGATCGATATCACCTAGAGAAATTAATTAAAAAATAATAAATCTTGATAACAAAAAAAAAAGAACAAAGATTACCAGAGTGCATTAATTGGTACCATAATTCATGTAATCGTCGATAATTATAGGCTGTTTCAGAATAGAGAAGAGGCTGTTGTAAAATAAAGCGACGAGCAGGATCTCCTCTGGAAATAAATGATATTTGTTATATTATAATGCAATAGAAAAAATTTCTAGTATTAAATTGACTGTATAATATAATTATAAGGAAATTTATGTACAAGACACACGAGATGATAGACCAAGCAAAGTTATTTGTACTCACAATAAACAAGAATCACTTTGAGATATTTATTTTTTAGATCTCGAGTACCCACTGTAGCTTTGAATACTCATTTTCTTTGCGAACATCAACAAATATTCTTCAATTTGAATGGAAAAATCAGGGAAAATATTTGTTGCATTTTCCTTCAAGACTATGTGCAATTTGTAAGATCTTCTTGTTTGAAGTGAATTGCACTTTAATGCAATTTTTTCTATTAAAGTTTGAAGATTCTTGCTGCTTGACATATTTTTTCATGTCTAACAACATGTATGAAACACATCGCTCAGTGTATAATAATGTATTTTGTACAGTAGTCACACGACTATGATGGAATTCTGTATGACTTGTTGACAATGATAATCCTAATTCAGACGAAGTTTTCTTTCGCAATTTTAAAAACTTAGCAAAAACACAAGTAGCGTTTGTCAATACAGCGAAACACTTTGCTTTTATATCTGTTCAAAGCACTTAGATGTCTTTTCTCTTTTGTTGACAATCATTTTCAACTATGAGAGTGCATTAATATAATGAAGAATGTATGTTGAGTAGTTAGTAATAGTGCTAAATTTAACGGGTACATAGTTAAATGTTGAACTCTTACAAAACTCTGAATATATATTGAAAATTTATAACCATATTAATGATTGATAATTTATTTTCAATACCTCTTACAGAAGAACAAAGAGTAGAAAAATTCTTATAGAATAGTGTGACAATTATTAACTAATTACAGGATCTCCTATAGGCAGATCAAAGGAATCGCTCTTTTTATTGTTTTCTCAATTATTTAATCAACGCTGATGAGGCGATCAGTCAAATAGTTTGTAGGGAAAAATAATGATCTCAATTCAAAATAAAATACATCAATGTTCTCATTCTATCCTATCAATAAATAGTAATTGTTATAAGAATACTACCTGAGTTGAACATTTCGATTCATATCAACTAATGGTTTTGATTCAATAAAAGCTTCAAGAAAATAATTTGACATATCTCGATGTGCAAAACGAATATCTTCAACTCTTTTTAAATATTTCTGTTTCATATGTCGTCGAATAAATGAATGACTCCAACAAATGACAACTTTGGAATCAAAATATCTTACTGATAAAAGTGGTCCTAAATAAGAATATATATGTGTTCAAACGAACTATGACGATTTTCTCTTCTATTTTACCTAATAGATATTTCACAGCAATCCATAATGATGGTGGAAAACGTAAATATTTCGGTAAATTTTTTTGAAAATATTCCAAAAAAAATTCATTATTACACGATAATATATCAAGTAATTCAAGTTCATGTATAGCCGATTGTGATGAACTAATATAATTAAAGATGAGAGCACAAATTTTTGTACCAAATTTCTTTTCACAATGATCTTTAAATTGAAACAAAAATTTTAAATCATATTATCTTCATTATTGAAAAGCAATTGTATTCTTACCAATATATGCATTGAATATTTCTTCTATATTTAATTCTGTTAGATCCAATTTTTTCTTACGTTGTGATAAATAACTAAAATAGCTTTCATTTAAAACCAGACGTAGAAGAAAAAATATTTGAGATTGTTTATCGATTTGTTGATATATACATTTTGAAAGAGCTTGTAAAACAGAATCTGTTACATTACGTTTTATTAAATTTAATTCAGATTTAATATATAAATTTAATTCATTTATACTAATTGTTTCATTTGTAAATGGTAATTCAATCATGCATTGCGTTTTTTCAAGGCGTTCAAATATTTCACGTATTTTAACATCGCTATTAGGATTTGTATGAACATTGCGAGTAACAGATATTATTGCATAGACCTAAAATAAAGTTTAGAATATAGATTTCGAATATAACATCGAGTTTTATTTATACGAAACAAAATATAAAAATTATAAAATGTCGTCGGTCGGACTCGAGACTTGATGAAATCAATCATCAATATCAGCAATCTTGTTCTTTCTTGCAGAGATTAGTGAACAGAAGCAAAAAGAAACTTTCAAAATGATATAGGTCTTTTGAGCCAATTATAAGTGAATTGCCTTGAGCAATATACGCTAATGTTCTATTTTGATGGAAAATCACTTTTTTCCCCAGTATTTGCTTTTACTTTTTAATAATAGATTCTTTAAAGCGTGTCAAAATTATATTTGCTAATCCTTGGTTAAATCATAATAATATGACATTAAAAGTACGCATTTCAATGTAAAACATACACAAAGAGACTATGATGAATCTGAATTTAGTAGGCAAAGATGTCTGTCAAGAGTGTTCAAGGAAATGAGCCAATTTCAATGAGTAATCATCGTAATATGTCTTTCTATTGATCGAATATTTTATGTAGATTTTTCGATAAACAATGGCATTAATTAGTATTGATAATGCTAAAATCAGCTTCATGGGAAACTTCAAAACTTTAACCAGAAAAATAGTCTATATCGGATTAAAAATCACACTATATTATGATATCAAATTCCTTAAGAGTTTTGAACTTTCAACGATTCGCTCATTTCTTCGACAAGAAAAAAATATTAAAGAGAATGTTCGAGATCCTCTGTCATCTTTTTAAAATTCAATGCGAAAATTTATGACTTTCTTTTTTTTCATACTATTCATGTTTTGGTCTTCGGGCTACTGAAATGCCAAAACTAAAGATTATTCTTCATCATAACATAGCCGTCTACATAATTCAATCATCTGATGCAAATCTTATTCGTACTCGAAACATTCTCATCTTAAAAAACATTTGCATGTACATTAATAATATTTACTGAAAGCAGTGCCAGTTGTTATTGATGTAGAAAATCTATCTTTATCATGTGAGATTCTCAAACATCTCGGATAGACTTGTTAAATTTGACATTTAACATGTTGATAATTCAATAATTTGAGATGTTCGAAAAGAGCAAAGTACACATTCGAGTTCATATATACTATTCAGCTTATTTGCTCAATAAGAAAAAAGAAGAGTCTATGTTGACTTTATCTGATAGATTTTTCAGTTAGTATCACATCAGAAGACCTTTTGAACTAAATGACAACCTGTTATCTTATCAAACTTGTCACCGCAAATAAATTCGAAGCCATCTTCTTTCTTCTATGCATAATTCTACTGTAGTTTAATAGTTTAGTTACACGAAAAATTTAGAAAACTGTTACATACTTTAGGCGGAAGCAATTGAAGTAATGTTTGATAGAAGATAATCGATGATGTGTATTGACTTGGCGATGCTGCTTCTTCAATGCCATCAATCATAAGTATAAGTGGTTTATTATTCTCTGATAAACTTTTTAAAATAGATTGATAAGATTCAATATTACTAAATTTTTGATCGTCAGTTATGGCTGGTACATTTTGTAATGTTTTCAGTTGTGCCGAAATTGAATTAAATACTTCTGCAATATTTTGTGATCGTGATGTTAAATTAAAATAACGCATTATACATTGAACATTTTTTCCTAATGTATTTAAAAGATATTGAACTAATTTTGTACATAGTAAAGTTTTTCCTGATGCCCGATTGCCAATAATCATCAATGGATAATGTTCATCTGTATTAGCTGATGAGAACCATTGTTTAAATGATTGATTATTTTCAATAAAATTTTCAAAACCTAAACATGCATTCGATGATAGTCGTGAATAGTGTGTTGAATGTATCAGTGTCTCGTTATATAGAATTTGATCGGGATATTTCAAACGAGTTGATATGGACAAATCAATATGATGTTCACATAAAAATTTAATGCGAAGAAATATAGCAGCATTTAATGTACGTAAATAACGTTGATGATCTGCATCGTCTGTTTGAAAATCTCCATTCTCTTTCCATGATATATTGAATAGAATTCGATTATCTTCAATTTTGAGAGTATCATCATCATTTATTGATAATTTATTTGCTATAGATTCACGAAAACGTTTTAATTTTTCTTGACGATGTTTATCCAAACGATTTGAACCAGTTAATAAATCAATATATGGTTCATTACCTTTATTCTTTTCGTTGAAACCTAAGCAATAGAAGCAGTACTGTAAAAAATATTTTCTGTTACTAAGAATATAAAAGTGCATAAAAATAATGAATTAAAATAATTTATAGATGTAGAAGAAAAGTCTAGAATCATCTGTTAAAGTCATAAGTTGCTTCTCTTGACATTTATAATAGAAAAGTCTGCCAGAAATCTTATAAAATTCTATAGCAATATTTATCATTTATTTATAGCCTGAGTGCTTCTCTAAAGACGAAGTTGGGATCGTAAAAGGATAAAATTCTTTATCATCGTTCCAATCTTCATTTCGCTACTTTTATATTTTTGATAGAGTTAAATACTGTTTGAAGTGGGTGCAATTTACTGTCTTCAGTTAAAGAAAAACACACTCATAATTCTAAAAAGGTTCTCAGCAATGCATGGGTTTATTTTTAAAATTGATGATTCTTAGTGGTAGATTATTTATTGAAACTAAGGAAAAGTAGACACTCATCAATTCTTCTTTGTGAGAGTAGTACAAAGTTTGAGATCTACTCTTGTTGAGAAAAGAGATTGATTTTCCATCCCAGTATTTATATATATCATGTTTGGAAATATAATTATCAGATAGGGAATACTTCGAAACCAATGTAGACAAGAAAACGAGTAAAAGTTGATGATTGAATAATTTTCAATTAGTAAAAGAAAAATATTTTACAATTTTTAATGTATGAGATAAATAAAGTAGCTAAATTTAGACTTTTTTTCTAATCTCTTATTAAATATTATATTTATCTACAAAAAAAGCTTCTTTTGAAAATTCTGTTGATTTTTCACAATGATGCTTGAAATCTTATTTGACAGGCTTTTTTCTTCTTATTTTTCTTTTGTATCAATCAACGGTTATCTTCTACAATTAAATTCATTCTCGAAAATAAATAGATGATATAGTTTGTCATTTCCATTAATCCATGAACTCCATAAGCCGGAAAGAAAAATGGCTACAAGCGCAATAGAAATATTTTGAATGTATGTCCTTTTTATTTAAGGTATAATAAAAACTCGATTATCTCGTAAAGTAAATAATGCATGCTCGTGCTCTCGAGCATTCCTTATTTTTAGACACGCATTAATATTGCAGCAAATAGAAAGAAGAGGAAGAACAAGAAGAAAAACCGTCAGCTTTCATTTTGGTTGACACTGAATCAAATGTCAGAATAATGAAATCTATCAGACATGAAGAAGAGGAAGAAGAAAGAAAAAGAACTAAAATTTACGCGAAGAAACTTGAGCAATTTTCAAAACAATTAAAAATTTATTTTGATGAAACAATCTTTTTTTTTCAAAATAGTAGTGTCATATTACTAATTAGTTATTATATTAATAACTAACATAATTGAATATCTTTTCAGTGACAGTATTCTCCGAACAAGAACTAAATTTCACAGATATACATACCATCAAACTGCCTCAAGACACACATGCAACCGGATGGAGACAGCTTAGCAGCATAATTGAATAGCATCTCAACACTGGAAAGTAGTTGAATATCATACATAGATGACGTATCATGTTTAGACTTTAAATTAGGCTTTTCATGTAGAACACTGGTGAATAAATCAGCTAAATTTACGTAGATATCATTCCATTCTTGACTTTCACGTATACTGATATCATATGTTGATACTGTTCGTGATAGAAGATTTGAAAATTCATCATCAGGATCTTTTAATTTATAAGCCGGTGGTAATAATTTGTCGTCAAGTAAATACCATCGTTCAAGTAATTTAACATCTTAGACAAGCAAAGATAATTTGAAAAAAACGAAAAAAAAAAACTAAATATCCTTTTGTAATACCTTTATTTAAATCAGAGGCAATATTTTTTATATTATTAAAATCTGTTGTTGATAATTCAATAGGTAAAACAACAGAACCATATTTATTTCCAACAAATGTCTACAAAAATATACGATTAAATTTCATTTAATATTTGTTTTCTTTTTCTTTTTTTTATATAAATTTATCTTACTAATAAAAACACACCAGCTGATGTTTTATAAGCATCATCAAGTTCCTTCATATAGCGTAAAACATGATATGGATTTCGAGATAAATCAAGATCCCAATTCAAATTACAATCAATGAAATTAACATAGATGCCTTGTGTTAAAAAATATTGTTGTAATTTTGGTAAAGTTTCTGTCATTAATGTATCACGTTCGATATCGAATTCTATAGAATAAATATTATTATTTTACATGATAACCTTTTTGTTCTCACCATCTTTATTTGATACAATAAGAATTTTGATTTGATTCCAAATTAATGTTGGTAATTGACAACCTTGAAATAATATTTTGCCTTGCATGACATTAGCATAGATATCTGCACTACTATTGTTAGTTTGATGACCGGACACCATTTTCGCAATTGAAGTAATAAAGATTTGTTGTGTTTTATGTGTTTTCTTTGATTCTCGTCGTTAACTATGATACCATCTGCCTGTCACGCTTGAAACTAAAGAGATTGAGAGAAAAAGAACGCAGAAAACATTATGTTAAGATTATCTGCAATGGTTGCTAAGATTATCAATAAAAGCCATACATATAGGATGCTTATATGAAAGAAAAATCTGTAAATTCAAGAACTTCTTTTTTTCTTTTTAACTTTTAATATAAAAAAAAACCATATGAAAGCTGATGGTGTAATTCTTCTAGTAGTTAAGTTAGTCTTTACTTCTCTCTCTCTCTCTCTCTCTCTCTCTAATCTCTTAGACAACGTTTTCTTTTCTTTGGTTGAATGTATCTGACAGATTCCAAGTGTATCATTAATCAAGATGACAGAAAATACCACTATGACAATGTGTCACTTCTACAGTTATGGGCGAAAATGAAGAAAACAAAACCCGATAACGGAAAAATGAATTTGTTTATATCTGTCTACATGGATAATAATTGTTATTGTCGTGATGATAGATTGTTAATTGTAAATAGATTTTTTTGCATGTTTTTATTAACTTTACTCAATCAAGTAATTTCTGCTGTTGTCTGGTAGGTCTCTATAGTAGGCTTCAAGTGGCTCTAGTCTTTGTTCTAAATAGCGCCTAACCTACTCAAAGATGTCGTACACGCAGTGAGTATGAAAGATTTAACGGAAACTTAATCATGGAGCTATTGAACATGATTGAAGACGGTAGTAGATGAATAGTAACAGCAAGATTTAGATGAGCATATATTATTTCTCTCTTATTTCTAGCATCGCTCATTTGTGTCTCGTTTTTCTTCTTCATGACGTATCATTCTCTCTGTTTCTTTCAAGCATAGTCTGCCTTTGTCACTGCGTGCGTTTTTTTCATTATCAACAGCTCTGAAGCCAATGGGGGAAAGCGTATTTCTGTAAATCTGCATTTCTAAATATTTCTGAGTATTTCTGAGTATTTCTATGTATTTTTATGTATTTCTATGTATTTCGGTGTATTTCTGTATTTATGAAATACCTAGAAATACATATTTCCACGTATTTCAGAAATACAGAAATACCATAAATACGCTTTTCCCCACTTGTCTGAAGCACAGTTGATAAGTAAAAGCAACATAAGCTCTAACTTGAAGACAACGTAGATGCTTTTTATGCCGTGTTTCAGGCGCATCCAGCTTTTCTTGCATTTCTTCTCTATTTCTCTTTCTCTTTTTTTTCTTTTTTTCTAACGTCGATATTGTAGATTGGCATTGGTTACAAGCGTACTCATTGATGTTGTCAATAACAAAAACAGAAAAGTTCAAACGCTTACTACCTCTTACCAACATTATATATTAAATTGACGGAAATCGGCAATGTTTGTTGAAAAGTTCCTTATGTTGCTCTACATCTCTGTACTATCATAGTGTATAGAGTGCATTCGAAAAATCGATAGAAAGAATTCTTCCATCATTTTACTCTCTTCATTCTATCTAACGGATGAATCGATTATAGCAGAAAATAGACACAAGAGTATGACTCAATTATATACGTATTTTAAAGAAATATTGTCGTTGTTACTGCCGCAACCACTAATGATGTCTTAATTCTACGAAGCGTAGAGAAAAAGAAAAGAAATTTAATTATCATATACTGGGAAAAAAATCGCCTATATTCATTTTGCGTCATTCGGATCGGAAATATTGAGAAAGTTTGGTTCGTTTGCATATATAGCTATATATATTATAAAACTGTAGGGCAGAATGAATCAAATTTGTCGAAAAAAAGAGCGAGCTTAATAAATAAGAAATGACCCGTGCTAATACATATTACACTGATGATTTTCTTAGTGCGCGAGCATAAACTAAAATAATATTCTTCTCCATGGCGCATAAAGCACGTTTTTAGCCTTTGTGCTGATTAACATAATTGTTAAAAACAACAATCTTTATACGTTTAGTATGTGTATGTGTGTTATTTTATGCGGATACAGTAGAAACTAATCGAGTGTAATGAAGATCAATACAGTAAGAAAATATATGAAGTAACACTGATTAAAATAAAAGTATGCTTCGTTGAAATCCTGTTTTGTTTATCAAGCGAAATAATACAGTTTGTCATAAAAAAGAAGCTTAGTGAGAAAAAAAGGCTCATTGGTAAATAAGCTCGATTAGTAGTGTCATCTTGAAAAAAAAAATATTATTTTGTAATATATTTCTTTCTTTCTTTTGACTATTTTTTGATTCGCTTTCCATAATTTATATCGAATCGAAAAATGAATCTATTTTAAGTATTATTTAAATTCTATTTCAATAAAGATTATAAATTAAAACAACAAAAAATTGAGTAGATCAACCTTAGGTTTTAATTAGCTTAATGATTCAAAAGAAAGGCTAACTTTAATCCGCACGCTATTTTGTTTTGTTGAAAATAATTTTTATGATTCGAAAAAAAAAGGTAAAAAATTCTTCTTGTCCATTGAATAAAATTCAAATTTCGAATTTCAACAAGAATATTCATGTCAAGAGAGGCTGAAATCGTTTTCTTCTTCTTTATGAATCAAGGTTCTATAACAATCTATTAAGTTACTAATTATCAAGACGGAAAACCTACTTCAAATAAAACCTTTTGTGAGTAACAATACGCTCTAGAGAAACAATTCTTTTTTCTGTCCAAATGAATCAATCAAAAGCTCAAAATCTTACATGCAGCATGTCGTAGAACAAAATAAATAAATAGAAAATGCCTAAAAATCAAAACGATAATCGTTAACAACATACTACAATTGAAAATACTAATCATGTGTAAATATGAGAATTCCTTTCAGATATATTTCTAGTCATCATCTAGAATGTCACAGCGATAGATAACTGTGTCGTTTCAAGGTTATGATCCAAGACGGTGTCATACCATTGGCTGAAATTGATGTAAGTTTTTATTTCAATAAATTGTTTAACACCGGAAACAGAAAATATTTTATTTGATAGTCTCTATCAAAAGAAATTGAATGTATCATGTGTCTTAATACGGCTAACGATTCTCGTATGTGTATTCATTGTTCTGTTATTGTATGTGCAAAATGTATTGAAGTACATTGAAACTTAATTTTGCTATCGTTTTAAATCATTTATTTATTATTGTATAATTGTAGACTTGGATTAATAAGCAAAAGACATGTCCAAAATGTTTGTAAGTCAGTATCAATGATATTAATATCTTTTTGTTTTGTAAATATATTTTTCATTGTAAAAGTCATCCAGTTCAAGAAACAGATTTTGTAAAATGTCGCCTAGTGGATAAAATAATCGAATTTATTGAAGTAGTAAAATCAAACATGTAAAATTAAAAACGAAAATGTTTAATTAATAGTCATTGTCTATTATTATTTATCTATAAATTAGTTGTTCTAATCATCCAAAAGAAACACCAAGAGTTTATTGTTCAACATGTAAGAAATATGTTTGTTTCGAATGTATTGTAACTGATGGTCAAGTAAAAAACAGTCGACTTTTGTTTCTTTTAAATCTTTGTTTAATTTTAGCATGTCGATCATGACTACAAATATATCGATGAAGACTATAGAAAAATCATTTCACTTAATCATAAACTTCTTGACTTTCTTCGGAAAAGACGTAAAAATAATCAAGATAATCTTGCAACTCTCGTAAGTTTTATTATCGACCGAGAAACTAATTAGGTGTTTGATTTCCATTAGGAATTAGCTACTCAGATGTTACTTAACGATCATAATGACAATATAAACCATGTTAATACAGTTCAACAAACAGCAACAGTACTAATCAAAGAAACACAACGGACATTCGATAATTATCAACGTAGATAAAATCTGTTTGTGTCTCATATATATATGTTTATAAAAACATGTTTTTATCTAGAGAAGAAGCAAACGTATGTCGACGTGATAAAAATCGATGAAATGATTATCAAAAATATCGAACAACGTCTTTCTGAAAGTCAAAATTTATCTGATCAAGAAGAAATCCTTCAAATCCTTCAAGAACATATTCCTTCAATGTCTGAATAAATAGAGAATGCCATACAACTTAGATTTAATCCAATTATGTTTTCTTATTGTTATTTCTATTTAGAAATAAATCATGAACTAGCGTCCGAATATTTCTATTAAGTAAATCCGAAATGATTTCAGTTAACAATAAGAGGATTGTCTCTTTTTTTTAAGAAGTTGATTAATAGAACGATAACAAAAAAATAAAAATTGAAATTAGGAAAACGATTAGCTTTCATGTCAAAAACAGACATATACTGAGTATGTTTAGGAATAGAATTCAATTGAAGAGTGGAAATGCGTATGTGGAAAAAACAATTTTCAGATGAAAAGGTTTCTGTATGAAGGATATTCTGTGAAGAACATGAGTAGAAAACTCGCATTAAGGAGTTGATAACAACCTGATGAATTCAAGCTTATATAAAATGTTATAAATCATTCTTTTTGATCTCATTATATCGCTTATTAATATATTCTTGATATAGGAAAATTCAATTTTCAAATCATATTAATATTTTGTCACCTAAAGGCTGGGTAAGAACTTTTTTAGAATCCTCTTAAAACAAGCTGAAATTTATAAGCCAACACAATTTTATCTTTTCTTTTCAAAAATAAAAACTGACTACCTTTAATCGTGTTTAATTAAAAGTTATTCTTAGTTATGCTCCTCTTTCATTATCATTTAAAATAACACTAGTTATTGCTATTGAAAAAAATAAATATTTTAAGACTACGAGAAATTTTCTTTTTCACAATGTCGGTGTTGTTTTTCATGTAGCTTATATATATATATTTAACGAGACAAGTTCTTTAACAAGAAAATATCTTTGAAATTTTTCTCTGTCAATTTAAAACAATAGAATGGATTTTGTGCGATCAGTGCGCTTTCCGTGTCGATTTGGTAAGTTGCATTCAGGCGACGAGATACATCATCTGCCAAAACTGATTAAAATGATTTCATGCTTGTAAGAGACCCTAATCCACTCTCCCTCCGCCCTCCTCCCCCCCCCCGACGACTTCCAGGAGAGTCTCCGTAAAATAACGAAATCCCTGAGGATTTGTCTGGAAAGAATTGATGAGATATCTAAATAAAAGAAATCTTTAATTTTTTAAATTTAAAAAAAGTAAGAATTTATTAGTAATTAGATATTTCATCCATTTTCCCCAGACAACTCCCCCGGGAGTCACCAGAGAGTTCCAACAAAACAACGAAGTCCCTAGGGACTCCCTGGGAATTCTACTAGGGAAAATTGACTAGGGTATAGTATAACTATACTTGTGGACATTTTTTAATAGAAAATAAATCACACATGAGACGAAATACTAATCGACTAATTAACGTGTTCATTATGTTACATTTTATTTCCTTGTTTTTAATGTGAACGCGATTAGTTTCGATTACGACTTTGTTTTAAACAAAGTAGTAATATGAGACCAAGCATAACTAAACGGTCTTCGAGTTCCACCCGAAAACGGAATGCGATGCGATGCGAAGCAAGAATCAGGATCTCCTACGAAAAATCAAGAATTCAAAGAAATCTTAAGTACTGTTGCAGTAGCCATGATGAAATTCATCCCTGAAAAAACTCTCTTCTTACTTAGCGATGCGTTCTTAAATATCGATTTCGATTGATCGATTTATTATCTTAGATCAGCTGTAAACAAATAGACTAGTGGCTCACATAACATGTACTGATGGCGTCATTTTAATTATCTCGCATTCATTTTCGTCATTTTGGAACGATATTTGTGAGCGAACGGAACGTCAGATTGAAGATTCGCAAAAAGATATTCTCAGTTCGATCTTGATGCTTCCATCTCATGTCTTAAAGACTTTTACATGGCTTTTAATTTTCAAGATCATCGATATGTAAAATGACAAACTGTGATCCGTACGTCGAAAAAGCAAACTAGCGACGGACGGACTACATAAATGCTTTGCTTCGCATCGTATTAATCACAGACGTCACTAGTTATCAAATGAAATAAAGCGAAGAATAACATCTAGCAATAATTAATAGAAAGAAAAATGACAATTTTTTTTTAGTCTAAATTTAAATCTGGAAAGATTCTTGAGTAGAGACTTCATTTATACTTATGGGCATTCATTTTATTACTCACAGATTATGACATATATATGATTATTAACAACTGTTGAAATATAAGACAAGAATATTAAGACACATTCATCTGAATAACCTTTGTATAAATATTTCTTTGAATTTATTCTTACCTATCTATGTAAAAGCAAGTAGGTTATCAATATAAAAAATTCATATATTCGCAACTAATTGAACTTGCAACTGAATTTTCATCAAATATCATATTTTTCTATGATATTTCTTTACTCAGCTAGAAGATATACATATATAATATCTATTCCTTCGTTTCGTTTTTCATTGTAGAAAAGTCTCCATTCTTTAGATATGATTTCATTCGAGCTATAGAAAAAAGAACAAGTTAACACAACAAGTATTTCAACTGAGTAATCACTTTTATTTTTTCAAGTTTACTTTTACCAAAAACAGAACGAAAGAGAAATAAAAAGAAAAGCTAATTGTCTGCTGGAGGAATTTTAAATTCTTCTAATAATTTTTCAACCATTGTGGGAGTAATAGTTGTTCCACTAGCAGCTAATTTCCGAATTTCATTAATAAAATCACCTTGACGTTCTTGGATTTCCACTTCATCCTGAAACGAAAGAGAAATCAGTATAATTGTTTTTCAGAAAGATTATTTCCAGTTTCCTAATGCAAATGACGTAAGAATGGTTTGACAAATTTCCAAGGGGAAAACAGCAGACTTGAAGTAGAAAAGTACAGCAAAGTAGACTGCTTGAAGTAGTTCAAAGTAGGATCAAGTAGCTGAAGTCGCTTGAAGTAATCTCAAGTACTTCAAAGTAAACTACTTGAAGTAGCTTAAAGTAGCTGAAAGTAACTTGAAGTCCAAAAGTCCGCTGTTTCCCCCTAGCAAATTTCTCGTGTGGACTTTTTCTAATGAAATCTTCAGAGACTCCTTTTGAACATGCGAGAAAATATCCGTCTTAACTTCTCGAAGATTATTTCCATTGAAATAGACTAGAGATAAGAACAAATGAAATACATTCACGTTGAAACGATAAATAACTTGTTAATTCTACTATAATATATTTTCTCGTCAACGTAACAAAAGTTTCAAGGCAATGAACTAGCAGTTGAAATTTAGAAAAATAGCAAAGAATTCATTTTCTTTTCTTTTTAGGAAAACAACCCATGTAATAAAAACCGCATGAAAATCAGCGGTTTTACCGGCTCTCATTACCGTAGAACGGATAAATACCGCGGTTTACCACAAAAAATGAACTGGCATTTACCGCGGTAAACCGCCGGTTTTGATTAATACCGCGGCCACCGCTAAATAAAGCGGTTAACCGGTTCATCTATAATTTTTGACAGAAAAAGTCTTCCAAATCATCAATTAAACTATTTTAAAGATCCTTTTTTTTTACTTTTACATGTGATAAACATGCGCAAAAAACCGCCGGTTTACCGCGGTTTTACCGGTCCGGTTACCGGCTCCCATTACCGCAGAACGGATAAATACCGC